ACATTATTTTGTATTTGGGAGCAATTGAAAGCCAAACAATTATATGATGGCAGTCACATGTCATTGAGTAGAATGTTAAAAGAAATAGGCTTCAAATGGAAAAAAGATGACTGAAGACGAGGGCTCATAAAACTGCCTGATATTGCTGTTAAACACATATCATTTTTGAGGTCTTATCTAAGACTTAAGCAGGAGGCTTTGTACCAGTTTGTTTTCTTTCATGAATACAGAGAGCAGTTGTATTATATGTATAAATGAAATGCTTTTTTTAGATATATCACACTTCATACTGGCAATGAAAATAGGATTCATTGAAGGTGTATCGCTGGTACTTTCATCGAAAACGCAACGACTATCATGGGAAAATCAGAATCAGAATAATTGAAAATATTCTTGATGGTCCAAATATTCATAATGTTTAATTATTTATAGTATTTAGAGTGGCTGTAAATAAAAAAGGTACTGAGCGTTACTATTATATTTTAAGTGATGATTGACAAATGAGTTGTTATTGGATATCTATCAAACCAAGCTTTGAATCAATGTTTATAATTTAGGTAATAAATAATGTTTGCATTATATTATAATATAATCCATTATTGTTTCTGAAAATATTTTGACCAAAGGAAAATATGCAAGAGGCGGCAACGCTGTGCTGACCGAGCTTGACAACCCAACTATAAGTTTATTTGGTATGAACTATAGGCATACTTTCCTGTATTGAAGTCGAAGAACTTAAAATATTAGAATCCTTACTACTAAAGGAATCCTCGACTATCATAGAGGAACTTGTGCTGGGAGTTGCGGATTCAAATCTTATATTCTCGCTGCTACCTAGAATTCTTCTGGCCGTATCTACTTTATTTGCACTTGAGTCGGCCACATAACTTTCCGCGACTGTGGAAGATCGCCACCTTCCGTGCCTTTTTAAAGCGAGAACATCCGCACCCGTATCTGCCAAAAGTGTTGCCGAAGTTCTTCGAAATGAGTGTCCCGTGTAAGACTCAGGATTGTCCAAATTCAAGTACTTGGCAATATTATAAGATACTTTTCCAAGGGTAGTTTTACCAGCAACTTGTTTGACACATTTCCGTACCTCATACCTCAAAAAGAGTCGTCTATGATCAGTGTTCTTGGGCCTTAAGTTAACATATTTTCTGAATATACCAAGGCAATCAATATTATTTTCAGTATCATTGATAATTGTAAACGAACGTCTGGTTTTATTCTTGCTATCTGGAATTTTTATTATTATCACATCCCTCTTATCTTCAATGTCACTTAATGTCATCTTGAGCAATTCGTCTTTACGGCATGCTCCAGCAACGCCAATGAGTGCAACTACCTACAAAATAAAGACTACTGTTTTATGGAATAGTTCTAAAGCCATATTCATACCTTCATCAACAAATATTGACTGTCTGGTGCCTCCTTCAAAAATGTCTTTATTTCCTGCCTTGAAAACACATTTGATTTTTTGGGATTATAACCATCGTTTCTCCTTTTCAAAAAAGCTCTCAATTTTGGAAATTTAGAAATATCTATACTGTCATTAATGGATAATGTTGTCTTGAGCATAGAGTATTCACTCCACAAACTTGCTGGACTCTTCAAATGTTGGGAACGCTCAAAGAAATATGCCAAAAGTGCATTTTCATCAACAATATTCAAATGCTTCACCGCTTGCCACTCTTTAAACTATATATATATAAATGTGTACCTCTCTTTCGATTTTTCGGGCAGCAATAAGGCACAAGCATTCGCTGCTGCTTCTTCTACGCCGGTTTCTCGCACATTTTTTCACTAATAATTATTACACTTGACTATGACTTGAACTTTTTTTTTGTCAAAATAAACTTGACATTTCAATAAGAATTTCGTTGCCTGGCAATTAAAAAAAAAAGACAATTCAACGAATACGTTGACAACGCCAAATTTGTTCACAATTTTGATTGTAATGGTTGCTAGCATAGGGTGCATGGAATTAGTAGGTCAATTTAAACAATAATACAACAAACTGGACACCAGTTAAAATAATAGCTTTATTTGCGAAGACGATCCCAAACTAACCCTGAACGCTAAAGTAAGAATCACACCATAAAAAGCCATTAATATTGTTTCATATTAATGGCTTTTCATGATGCGATTCTTTCCTTATATTAGCATTCAGGATCAGTTTGGGATCTTCTTCGCGAACAAAGCAAATAGGTGCACCATCAAATTCATGATATTTATTATCTTGAATGTATGGTAGCACAAAAAATATCATATGCACCTCGACTTGTAGCGTGTACTTTTTTGGCCGAGGATGCAGTTTGCAAGCCGAGGCCCGTAGGGCCGAGGTTTGCAAGCATTTGGTACAAGCCTTGGTACATAAATAACTATTTAGTGCCGCTGGAGCGGCAGTAGAAGTACTTTTAGTGCCGCTCGTACTTTGCCGCTCAACCATTCACTTGCCCCCGAGCTTACCCCATTCGTTTGGAGAAAAAATAGAGTGTTGCATACAGAGTAGAAGCACTTTTTTGTGCTCCAGCAGTATTGCAAGCCTCACTACGTTCGGCTCGCAAACCTACCGCTTCAGCACAAAAAAGTAAAGCTTCTACTCCTAATACAACAATATACTATTAAACAAAAATTACATCTCACTTTAATCAATAAACTGGGAAAATTTACTTAATGGATAGGTTTGCAAGTACCTACGGTATTAATTTTTCTTGAATTTTAAGTTTAGAGACCATTGCTGACAATATTTTGCATTTTTAGGTATTTAGACCTTCGATGATGTGAACGTCTCGATAATATGAACACGTCCGGTTTTTTTGTGTTCACACTAGCGCGAGTCTACTTTACTTTGAAAAATTGGCTGACATTTTCATTACATTCAACGGAATAGACCTAAAGTGCGTTTTTTTTTTAAAGATAAAAGTCAAACTGACATTAGGTTGGCAATACAATGTAAAATTGTCAATGCTATCAAATTTTTCATGTAGAAAAGGCTTGTGTTGCCAACATAGTTACTAAATTTTTGACTTAGGAAATTATCTTTAAAAAAAAAAAAACAGATCTTATCTGTTTTACCAGACAAAGAGGTAATAATACGAAAATTTCATGAGATAAAAAAAGGCACAGAACGCTCATTGCGCAGGACGAGGCAAAACGTACCAAATTATGTCAGACTTACGTACAGCAATCCGTTCTTCTTATTTGCACGGGATAAAAAAGGAAGGAGAAAGATCGCGTGTTGTATTACACGCGTGTTGTATTATACGTTATACATTGTATAACGTATTTGTCAATGAAAACTTCAAACAACTTTTGAATGTTACTTGTCAAGCTATGTCATGTTGATTATCAATCGTTTTTTTATTCTTGTCAGACCACGGGCAATGAACAAGGAGAAGGAGATGCCCAGCGTACAAAACGAACACCTCTCACCTGTACTAGTTAGCCAATGAAAAGTCATTGCCTCATGTTGCGCGCGCATACCAGTTAAAAATAGATAGGTCTATTGAATTTCACTTGACTTAGGGCCGGTATTATAAAACACTGAACCGATGGTAGAGTTTCAAGTTCCAACCTTCGGTTGAATCCTATCAATTTGCATGAAACTCATTCATCGATTCAGTGCTTTATAATACCGGTCATTGGAAAATTACCTAAACAAATGATGCGGACAGTGAATTTGTTGCGGAAAAAAATACCATCATTTTTAACAAATATCGATATCAAATAAGTACGTTCAAGTAATGCTCAAAAAGGAGCGTGGCACCAAAAAAAATTAGCCTACGGCGGTTGCCTGCGGCGTTAATGGAAATGGTCTTATTATAATACTGCCCCCCCCCCTGTGAAACCTCGTAACGACGCCCATGGAGATATCATAATACTTTTAACATTCCTTTTTGTAGAACATCCTATGGCGCTAACAGTCCAATTATCAGATATCTATCTATGTTAAATAATCTTGATATTGACGTTTTTAATGTGAAACTAGCTCAATTTAAAACAATCTGCCATAATGTGATAAATGTGGTAATGTACCTTAACTATTTATAACTTTCTGTTCCTATCAAAGCTACTATAATACCTAATACCTAGTACTAAGTAATTATTTCCTACTTAAATGTGCTTTCATAATTGGTTAAATGCATAATTTGTTAAACTTTTCGACTACTTCATAATTTTTAGACTATTTATGTTTACTTTCTGATTTTGGTTAATTTTTGCTTATTTTTTGAGTTTGTATTTATTGTTTTTGCACTCGTTTCAAAACCTATTGTTAGGTGACATTTTGCTCTATTTATTTATATACATTTATAATGATATAGGTTGTTATTTAGGTCTAGTGTTTATGTTTGCCTGGCCTTTGTTAATTATTGTATAATTTCTTCTTTAATGGGGTTGTCCCGTGAATAAATAAATAATAATAAATAATCCGATACGTACAAGCAAATACCTCCTTCCCTACTAGCTCTGTCTGCTCTGAATAACTTATACCCAGGAATATATAATATGTATATCACATGGAATCTGCTCAGAATTTTTACGTAGGATCCGAATATTCAATAATATACAGGGTGTCTCAATAAAAAAAATATATTTTTGTTTTTCAAACTTTCTGCAACACCCTACCCTGTATGAACAAAACTATGTTTTCTGGGAACTATTTTTCAAGCTATACACTTTTCCTACTTACATTTTTTTCATACACAGTGGCACAAAAAAGTTGAAGGGGGTGGGGGGGGGGGGGGAATCATGGGAAAATATAAAAAATGACCTACTTCACGTTATTCTGGACACCACCTACCAATTTCAACACTAATGCGAAAAAGTGATATTTTCATCAAAGTCTCCTAAAATGTGTGCAGAAAAGTGAGCTTTCCCGCACGCTCCTAGAAAAAAATCTCGTATTTCTTGATTCACGACAAAATGTCGTTTTGAACCCAAGCCAAAAGTTAAAATTTCAATTTTTCCCTCATCAAATCAAATAAAACTCTACTTACATTGAAAGTAACCGGAGAAATCAACTCTAAATCCTCCAAAAGGACATCGTTGCTCCTTAATACACAATAGGGCTCCTCTTCCTCGATTATTTGCAAGCAAATACGACAAATTGTCTCGTTTGGCCCCATATTTTTTTTTATTAGAGGATGTTTTAATATCAATTTAAATGATGAAAATTAATCAAAATAATTTGAAAAATTGAAAAATACAAGGTTTAAATAAACATTTTTCCAAAGCGAAAGCCCCAATGCTTGTTGTTGTGGCTTTTTGATTATTTTTGTTATAATTGACATTCCTTTTGTAAATTTAATGAAAAAAAATGTATTCTTATCCTTATATTCTACATGCTTCTAGAAAAAGATGCACATACACTCAGTGTTTCTTGAATGACGCCATTTTTCTTTTGACATATACAGAGCAACGTTGCTAATTATTACATCAAACATTTTCCTTATATTTCTTATGTATTTCAAGTGCACAAAGCCTAGAAATAGTTCTCGTATAATCCATTGAATAATTTAAATCAATTTTGATAAGTACAAAGTGTGAAAATATAATTCTTTTATAATATGTGAAAGATTTGGCAACAGTGTTATTTGAAGTGACACCGTGACACCATCTAACTATAACCTCACTTTTCTTTACTGGCTCAGCTGGCTGTCATTATTATTTATTTCAAAATAAATTTTTACAATTTTCCTCTAAAATCCAGAAGAAAATGTCTGAAGGTGAAGCTAGAAACAGCTTCGAAGGGTTTATGAAAGCCATAGGAAGAGCCATAGACGGCCCCACTACTTGGTTCCGAAGTAAAACTTTAACCTCAAAAATTATGTAATTGTACCCCTTTTTATTATTTTTTCATAGAACAAGTTGTGGAACCTAACCAAAAGCACTATCCGTGGTACCATCAGAAGTTCAGGCGAGTACCCACCATCGACGAGTGCTATACAGATGATGCTGTTTGTATTTTTGAGGCCAATCAACAGTACAGGCGGGACAGGTTGGTGGACAGCGAAATATTGACGATTCTACGTGAAAGGTTCTCGGATTGTGTTGTTTACGAGACCCCTGATCATGTGGAAAAGTGTTCTGGGCTTTTTAAGGAGTATGAAGACGCTGCTGGTTATTGGTTTACAAAATGTGATTATTATTTTCAATTTGATTGGACGTTGGAGTAAATTGGTTTATTTTCAGATGGTGATTTGGGTGCTTATCATGATGCCCAGACTGCTTACATGAAGCAGAAACACAGAATGATTTGGGAGCGTAGGCACGGTCCAGTCGGATCTGGCATGAATGGGAAAAAGGTTGACCCTGATGCCCAAGGGGATTGAAGATGTTTGTTAAATAATAATTATTGTAGTTTGTAAAATGTATAGGGATTATATTGATTTTGAAATAAAAAGAAAGCAATCTACATGATGCATTAAAAAAATTGAGTTTGATTGATACCTCAAATACCTTTTGAGCAATGGAGCCACAAATTCCCAAATTGCTGCTGAATTTGTAACACCCTGTATAGGTATTACATTAATTAATAATATCCGATTTTAAAAAGTATAAACATTTATTTCTTTATTCAACAATAATTCTTTTCACTTGGCAATCTTATTTTTAATTTAACGAAACAATAATGTCACAGAATAAATAGTTAAAAAAGAAGTTGAATAAATATAAAATACAATAATGGATAAATTTATAGAGACAATTTAAAATACAAATACAACAGTTGATATCGCAATTAATAATAAATATAAATCACACAAAATTTATAAAAAAGAAAAATAATAATAAAAATTGCATTATCAACTTAAATACATCAGAATAAGTACCTAGGTATAAGAAGAAAAAAAAATGGAATGTTTCTAATAATATTTCAAGTCTTTTCGTTTTTTGAGTGGCGCTCAAACAATTAATAATAATTATTACATTCCTATGTGATTCTAAAAACAATTAAAAAAATAAATACATATCTTGGTGCATTGAAATGTTGCGCTTAAATTATTTGAAGTTCAAATACGTACCATAGAAAGGCTTCTTTTTGATGGCACCTAGAAAAAAAATCAACCAAATTAGTCCACAACAGAAATTACTTGAAGTACAAAGTATGAAGTTAATATACAGGGTGTCCCACGGTGGATGGCGTATTAGACGTTTATGGAGAACTAAAAAGCGGATCATTTTGAAAATTTGGCAACCGGGATAAACAACCATAATCTACACTTTAAAAATATTTTTGTTTAGAATAGAATAGAAAAATACTTTATTGTCAAGAATACAGGTTCTGTAGACAAAGCAGACTATAACATAATATTGACTAAAACAAAGTTGTATAAACGAATTTCAAAAACAGTAGGTTCATTCAACACATTAACATTTTAAATACTCAACATTACAGGGACAAAATTGATTATATCATTAACAAAAACCAAACAAGACATGCAGGGCTCTTGTTTGCAGCACATTAGTATAAGAACAAAAACCAACTTACAGGCAGTAAATAAAAACAAATAATTACCTATTATTTATTGAAAATCTATTAACAAGAAATACTTTGATTATAAAATTCGTCAAGGGTGTAAATTGATTTTTGTAATAAGGCCTTCTTGAGTTTTCTTCTAAAAATCACAGCCGAGGCAGCACATCTAATATCCGCAGGCAAGTGATTGAAAATCTTTTTTCCCTCATATATTATAGATTTTTTTGTAAGTGAGCTTTTAGGAATAGATAAGGCAACATGATTTTGTTGGCGAGTAACTTGTACAGTTCTATCACTTTGGTTGTTACTATAGTTTTTATACACTAAACTTGCTGTTTCAAGTATAAAAATTGATGTTATAGTAAGAATTTTCAAGTTCTTAAAATGCGGCCTGCAAGATTCTCTTGGAGAAATATCTTCTAAGAAGCGTACTGCCTTTTTTTGTAAAACAAAAAAAACATTGAGTAAATATTGGGAGGCTGTTCCCCAAAATGCTATTCCGTATCTTAAATGGGATTCAAATAGAGAAAAATAAACCTTTCTGGCTATATCAGCACCCAACTCTAGTCTGACACATCTGACAGCAAAGCATCCTAATGAAAGTTTATGACTCAATTTGAGGATGTGTTGATCAAACCGCAATTGGTTATCAATATAAAGGCCCAGAAACTTAACAGCAGATTCGTTCTGAATAGGATCATCTCCAAGGTTAATGTTCGAAATATTGCATTTAAAGCCAAGGATGTTGGTTTTATTGACATTGAAACACAGGCGATTGGCATCACACCACTTTTTTATTTTTGAAGATCATAAGTTATGCTCCGCTCGAGGACGTTGGTGCTCTTGAGGTGCCATAAGACAGACGTATCATCCGCAAAAAGTGTGAATTCACCTAAAATGTCTAGATATACAAGATCATTTATAAATATGAAGAACAACAACGGACCCAAAACTGAGCCTTGGGGAACGCCACCGTTGACACCCAACGATGATGAAGATGACCCAGATGCCAGCACACACTGAGTACGGTGAGTCAAGTAAGACCTAAACCATGACAACACTGAGCCCCTGAAACCATAGCGCTCAAGCTTTCGCAACAATATTCTGTGATCCACACAATCAAACGCCTTGGATAGATCACAGAACACCACCGCGACCATTTCGCCCTTATTGATCTCAGTATAGACTCGGTCAAGAAAGTTAAAAATTGCGTCATGAGTTCCCTTGGATGATTGAAATCCAAACTGCTTTGGTGTAATAAGCCTAAATTTGGTAAGGTAGATCCACATGCGCTTTTTAACTATTTTTTCAATGACTTTTGACAAAGTTGGAAGAAGTGAAATAGGCCTGAAGTTTGAAGGAGAATCCGTAGTGCCTCCCTTATGGAGTGGGATAACAATTGAGCGCTTCAAACAATCTGGAAATGAGCCTTTCTGGAAAGAGTTGTTGATTGCCGTACAGAGTGCCAAAAGAGCGTTATTCGGCAATTTAATCAAAACCTCAACAGAAACTTCATCTTCTCCCGAAGACCTCTTGTTCTTAATGTCTCTTAGTGCTTCAAGCAGTTCTAATGGCTCGACATTAAAAAATTGAAATGAGCCAGAGACAGAAATGCAAGACAGGTAGGTTAACGGATCAGTATCAGTTGAAAGGTGTTCCGTCAGTTTACTGGCAATACTACAGTAGAACTCATTTAGAATGTTGCACTCTACCCCGATCTCATTGAATTTCCTTGATACGCTGTTTTTCCGAATTTCATTTATAATGCTCCAGCTCTCTTTCTGTACATTTTTAGATTTATGAAGTCTATCACTATAATAATTTTTTTTGGCTAAATCGATCAACCTTTTATGCAAATTTCGATATTTATTGCAATACGATGAAAGCCATTCATCTTCATAAAACTTCTTGATGTAATTCAAGCTTCGTAGATTAGTTGAAGATATTTTTAGACCCAAGGACAACCATTGTTTCAAAGCTTTTTGTTTCGGCTTCACCTACCTTAGTGGAAAAGCTCGCTGAAAGTTATCCAAAAGAACTTTGTAAAAGAATAAGATGGGTTCCGGTGACTGTTCAACACCCTGCCAATTTACTCTTTGACACTGATTTTTAAATTGAGTGAAAGCATTTGTCGAGGCATTTGTGGTAAAAATTCTTTTGTTTATTCGCTTAAGCTTTTCTGGAACTGATTTTAGTGAAAAAGTGGACAAAACAGCATCATGATCTGACAAACCAGAATGAATGACCGAACAAGACACATCATTTAGATTAGAGCATACAAAAACAATGGTTGTCGCAGTGGAATCGGTGATTCTGGTTGCGGACCCAACATGCATTGTTAAACCATAAGCCGTTATCATATTTTTTAGCATTATGGTATTGATTTGATTCAAACTACTAAAATCCATGTTGAAGTCACCAGCAAGGATAACTTTTGCATTTGGAGAGATCTCGGTAAGCATCGAGTCTAGACTATTTAAAAACTTCTTGATATTGGAAGAGGGCGAACGATACAAGCAAAAAATGTACAGATTATATTGTTTACAGAAGCAGGCTGAAAATTCGAAGCTTCCCTCATTCAAAAGATAATTGTATTCCACCGTGAAGAGAGTTCTCCCGACACGAAATAGAAATTGTATTATAGTTCGGCACGTTAAAACACTCCTGCGGGTGCAATGTTCCGTTACTAGTACAATATCTGGAAAGTTGTTGTTTTCCAAAAATGTAAACAGATCATCTGTTTTATTCCTGAGGGATCTGATGTTTTGTAACACCAACGAAAGCTTATTCATGAAGTCCTCCCGTTTGGGAGGGTTGACGTTAAAAAAAATTTCGAAACATTAGATGTGCTACCCCCGCTACCGTCACCTGCAAGGTTAAAATCTACATTAATATTTGACTGTTGTGGACTAGGGCTAGTGTGTGAATCAGTCACAAAATTAATGATCGAGGTATCATCCTTATGAGTGTTGGTCCCTGATAAAGTGAAATCACAATCTGTTTCAATTACCCTTAAACAAGAAAAACAGTTATTTTTGAAATCCGACAAAAAACCTTCAATAAAAGATGCAGCCTCTTTAAGGCCTTTCCTGTTAAGAAATATGCCACGTCCACAGTAGTCAGTATATCTAAACCCATTATATAAGTCCAAAAAGTCAATATTCGACGTAAATTGTCTAAGATCTGTAACGAATTTAACAATCTTATCCATTAACACACTGTATTTTTCCATAAGGAATGGATCCTTCATATTTGGCAGGTGTTGTACAAATGATAAGATTGGTATAAAAACACATATTAGATAAACGAGTTATATCACTCAGACCAATATCGTCATTGTTAAGACCTGCCAGCACCACATCATCCTAGAGATCCACTCCATTGATCCATTTATCACATCTTTAAACGTCGTCTTGGGCTTACAAATAGCTTGAACCTGGTAGTTAGAAGATAAAAGTCTATCCAGATATGGAAGGAGGTATTTTCCATATTCATCTGTTAAAAGAAGAACCCTTTGTTTTTCTGTCTGGATATTATTATGCGCATTACTGTTCTTATTATAATTTTTTTGAATGTTGCTATTAATTGTTCTGCTTTCATTGCTGTTTTCTTTAATACTAACTAAGTGGTTCTTGCCATTTGCAAAGCATTTATCGCTTTTACGAAAGCAAACGTTGTTTTTGTTGTTATAAGATGAACTTTTAGAGTTGGAGTTTTTGTTGTTTTTTACATCTTTTGGTTTTATAAGCTCTTCTTTTTTACTATTTATTTTCTCGATTGTGGGGTGTTCAACAAGATCTCTGTCAGATTGGAGCTTAAGATTTTCCGCTTTTTGCTGATGGCTCTCTATGATTTCTTCCAGAATACATATGGTTCCTATCATGTTTGTACTTCTCTTATTTGATCTAATTCACTTTTCAGTTTTGTTATGTTGTCGTTTTTGGTTATCATTTTAACAGAAAACTCTTTTATAATTACCTCTGACGTTGTAATCTTTATTGTTAATTCGTCAATTATTTGCTGTTTTTCCTTGAGCAAGTCATTGTGAAGCTTGTCACTTTTACTTTGCTTATCTCTAATGTTCAAAATTTCAGCTTGAAGCAACTTTATCTTTTTTTCCTTTTCTTCAATGTGCTCTTTATTATTAAGGATAACAGTATCTGCAGAAGGTGTAATGCTTTGAATTTTCTGAAGTTTTCTAATTTTGTCCAATAATACTTCTTTTTCCTTTTTCAAGTGAAAAATTTCAATAATAAATTTATTTAGCTTTTCCTTTAAAGAATCGATTGTCTTTTTTTTGTCCGCGCAACTGTAACTCTAGATCTTTTTCCGTCGAAAAGACCTCATCTTGGAAGTCTAAAGATTGTCGTCTTAGCTTAGATAGTTGTCCCTCCTCCTCAATTTCAGAAGTCAACTGGTTAATTTTTGCTTGCAAATCAGAGTTAGTTTCTTCTGATTTTTCTTCCATCTCCAAAATGATCTGGCTGAGTTTTCTATTTTGGTCGTAAATCTTTTCAATTTGTTGATCATTTGGATTTAAGATCAAGGTGCATTCCTGACAAAAATAAGGAATTTTTCTTGACTGCAATGCAATAAATCTGATTTCTGTCGCGCTCCATTTCTCGCAGTTTTTGCAGATAACATTTTTGCATCGGTCGCATATCCCCGCAAATAGTTGGTCACTGCTCTTGGGAGGTTCTTTGAAAATGCAGCTTGAAAAGCATTTACTGCATTTTTTACAAGCATCTGCCATGACGTCATGTGCCTGTCAATACACACCTCGATTGCGTTTTAAATATCTTAAATATCGAGTGCAGCTAAGCGCATTGTTATTTTTTTTATATAAAAACACCAGCACAATAAAATAAATGAGGAAGGTCAGTGATCGTAAAAAAATAAGGAATTTAAAATTCCTATCTGCACTTTTTTGTGAAAACCCAAATTTAAAATTAATATCAGCAAATCATTAAATCAAACATTAACCAGATAACATTTCACTTATCAGCCTGGAACTTACAGGAACATTACACACTAATTAATTGCTCGCACAATTTACAAAATTTTTGAACTCATAGTTTATGCGGTGTTGCCGCTTCTACTCTCAACTAGTGGCAACATCGCTTTTTTTTAAATGGAACACCCTGTATGTGATTGCATATTTCGATTCTACGTAAAATTTTGAGCAGATTTCATGTTATATACCCTATACCTAAGTTCAACTGTTTTGGAAATAATGACAGTTCAAAATTGACTTTTTGCAACTTTGACAGGCTGTAAAACCTGAACGGTTAATTTTAGAGGAAACCCGATTTTACCTTCCTATCATAGATTTTTATAAACTATAATTTGACACCAACTTTGAATTTAATCCATGATTAAAAATTCCAATTAAATTTAATCTCCGGTTAAATTCAGAGTTGGTGTCAAATGATAGTTTATGAAAATCTAAGATAGGAATGTTAAATAGGTGTTCCTCTAAAATTAACCGTTCAGGTTCTACAACCTGTCAAAGTTGCAAAAACTCAATTTTCAACTGTCAATATTTCCGAAATAGTTGAACTTAGGTATAGGGTATATCACATGAAATCTGTTCAGAATTTTATGTAGAATCCAAATATGCAATCACATACAGGGTGTTCAATTTAAAATAACGATGTTGCCACTGATTAAGAGTAGAAGCGGCAGCACCGCATAAACAAAAATATTTTTAAAGTGTAGATTATGGTCGTTTATCCCGGTTGCCAAATTTTCAATATGATCCACTTTTTAGTTCTCCATAAACGTCTAAAACGCCATCCACCGTGGGACACCCTGTATTTGATAGATTTACTTCAAGTACAAGTTTTTTAAAATTATACTTTGGTTATCAAGGAAACTTGAAATTTACTTCAAGTAAAGCGGCATTATTTGAGGTATATTTTAGTTCTTGAATAGTTTAAATTATTTGATTACTTAACTTTGGTACTTCAAATATCTGAAATCTCTTCAAAACAAGTCAATTCTTAGTAATTTTTTAGTTATTTTATTATTTATTTATTATTCTCATTCTATTCTGGTATTTTATTTGAGCTTTCTGGGTACCCTTATGAAAAACTCAATTTTTTTATTTTTTAGTTCTGATTAATTTTGACTCTACCAATCGATAGAGCGGGTCAAAATTAATTGAAAACCACTCTGACATTATTTTCACATGGTTATTTTGAGCTGAAAAAAAATTGAAGAGGAAATCCTATTTTTGGTTCTGTAAAATTTTCAAAATCTTGACATGGTCATGAACAGATGCTCATATTTTGGTTAAATTTCAAGTAAATTGTAATAAATTATATATCACTGAAAAGAGTATTAAAGTCTCTATAAATCCGTGCAAAATTGAGTACAATAGCTCAGATAGTTTTTGAATTATTGAGCCGCAAAGTGGATTTTTAGTCTAAATTTTGGCAAAAACTTCAAACTCAATTTTCTCTCTATTGTAAATTACAAGTCTTTTAGAGCTTGATAAGAGCTACAAATTCTGAAAAATTCAATGCAATTTTCTCAACGGTTATCTAACAATTGAGGTTTGAATATTTTGAAATCAGAATTTGAAGGGGTGGTTACCCTTATGAAAAACTTGATTTTTTTATTTTTCAGTTTTGCTCAATTTTGACTTTACCAATCGATAGAGTGGGTCAAAATTAGTGGAAAACAACCCTGACATCATTTCCAAATGGCCATTTTTAGCTGAAAAAAATTAATAAGGAAATCCTATTTTTGGCTCTGGAAAATTTTCAAAATCTTGACATGGTCATGAACAAATGTCGATATCTTGGTTAAATTTCAAGGAATATGGAATAAATTATATACCACTAGAAAGAGTATTAAATTCTCTATTAATCCGTGCAAAATTGAGTTTAATAGCTCAAATAGTTTTTGAGTTATTGGTCCTCAAAGTTGACTTTTAATCTAAATTTTGTCAAAAACTTCAAACTGAATTTTCTCAAAAACTATAAACCTGGGAATATTATAAATTACAACACTTTTAGAGCTTGATAAAAGCTACAAATTCTAAAAAATTCAGTGCAATTTGCTCAACGGTTACCGCGCAATTGAGGTTTGAATATTTTGAAATCAGAATTCAAAGGGGTTACCCTTACGAAAAACTCGATTTTTTTATTTTCCAGTTTTGCTCAATTTTGACTCTACCAATCGATAGAGCGGGTCAAAATTAGTGGAAAACAACCCTGACATCATTTCCAAATGGCCATTTTATCCTGAAAAAAAAATTGAAAAGGAAATCCTATTTTTGGCTCTGGAAAATTTTCAAAATCTTCACATGGTCATGAACAAATGTCAATATCTTGGTTAAATTTCTGGCAAATTGGAATAAATTATATACCATTAGAAAAAGTATTAAATTCTCTATAAATCCGTGCAAAATTGAGTTCAATAGCTCAAATAGTTTTTAGTTTTTGAGTCATTGAGCCTCAAAGTTGACTTTTAGTCTAAATTTTGTCAAAAACTTCAAACTCAATTTTCTCAGAAACTATAAACCTGGGAATATTGTAAATTACAAGTTTTTTAGAGATCGATAAGAGTTACAAATGCTGAAAAATTCAGTGCAATTTGCTCAACGGTTACCGAGCAATTGAGGTTTGAATATTTTGAAATCAGAATTCAAAGGGGATACCCTTATGAAAAAATCGATTTTTTTTATTTATCAGTTTTGCTCAATTTTGACTCTACCAATCGATAGAGTGGGTCAGAATTAGTGGAAAACAACCCTGACATCAATTCCAAATGGCTATTTTAAGCTGAAAAAAAATTGAAAAGGAAATTCTATTTTTGGCTCTGTAAAATTTTCAAAATTTTGAGATCATGAAAAAATGACCATATTTTAGTCAAATTTCAAGTAAATTGGAATAAATTATATAGCGCCGGGAAGAGTATTAAATTCTCTATAAATCCGTGTAAAATTGAGTTCAATAGCTCAAATTGTTCTTCAATAATTGAGCCTCAAAGTTAATTTTTAGTCCAAATTATGCCGAAAACTTCAAACTCAATTTGCTGAAAATTTTCAAAAACTTTACATGGAATAAATTATATATTATTGGAAAGAGCATTAAATTCCTGTACAGTCAAGTAAAAATCCAAGTATTATAGAATAGATAATGGCAGTACAAGTACAAATACATTACAAAAAAAGTAATTCAACTGTACTTGAACTAGAATTTCAAGTAATTAACTTCAAATATTGACAGTTCTTGTCCACATTTACCTTTATTTTCCGTAGTAGAAAGTTCGTTTTCCGGAGGCGAAGTGTTCACTCCAGAATCACCACTATCATCAGCTATAGCTTTGCCAGGCAAAAGTTTATCTGGCATTGGCAACTCGTGAGGCTCCGGGGCTCCTTTCCAGGGGCTGCTGGTCAACAAATGCCGGGCCGGAGACACCAAACAATCGGACAAACCTGCAAACGGGGACGGTTCCGAAGCCATTGGCATGTTAATTGTAAAGTCCTATAATAAAAAGACATTTTAACAATAAAAAGAAACATATGTATCAAATTACCATTGATTTAGTTTTTCCAGGTGTGTTCCACAATAAAATCGAACCAGGTGTAGGAGGTGTATCAGGTTTGGGAGGCGAATACTTCTTGAGCACTTGGGAGTTTAGTTCAGCTAAAGGAAACAGGCTGGATTCTTCTTGTTGCTGGGTTTGTTGGTACCTGAACATGATTTGCTCTTGCAAGGTTTTATTTATAACGACCATGCTGTTTCTTTTGCTGCCTTTTAAGTGGAAAATTAAGCTGAAGCTTTTGTAGAATTCATTTACTGAGCTAATATTGAAATGGGCTAGTTTCAAGGGTTTATTGAAATAATCCTCGTATAATTGTTCTAGGGTGTTAAACGGAATTGATCCGTTATTTTGGCAAATTACATAATAAAGCTGCGCCCCTAAGACATATAATGATGTTAACGAAATATATTCGGTGTTATTTATTGAAGAAATTTGAATTATTTTTGGAATGCTTTTGAGGGTATCTAGCTCTATGTTGCCATTGTAACATTGCCGATACTGATGGCAAAAAGTTGTTAAATCTTTGACATGTGGCGGACATAGGAGCAAAGCCCAAGAACGAACACTTAGAATATTGGGCAAAGTATCCATTTCCACAGGGCGGAGTCTGAGTAATGAACCAGCATCACTATGGATTACCTAGAATTTCAATTTAATGACTTACTGTATTATTTTAGAGTGTATTATTGCTTACTTGTACATATTCTGAGAGTTTTTCTATGACTTCCTGCAATGTCGCGCACTGGTATAAGGAACAATCCAACATATAGCCGAATTCTTTGTAGTAATACATGGCTAGTTTTTCTAGTTGTATGCTGCTATCGGGCACTTTGTACAAGATTTGGACTAGTTGGGCTCCTAGGATGCTCAAGGATTGTTGCTGAGTGAGACTTATTACTCTTTCACCGTTGTGTTCTCTGATCTAAATACAAAAGATTATATTAAGTTTAATTCTGAGTCAGCAATAAAATGGAATATGTTTATGATGTAAAAACTTTGTTACTTTATAATATGGTTTAGATCAATATGTGAAATAAATTTTACATCTAGGTACTTAAGTATGACATTATACGTTTGTGAAAAAAGGTTCACTTTACGCACTTTGTAAATACAAAACATGAAGACAATTTTTGGTGTAAAACTACAACCAAATTGTGACAGAGACAAACATGGATTGATTCCCCCTCAGTTTTACCTCTACCACGTCGGGAATGGCCTCGAAAAGCTCAATTAACTTAGTGAAACCATAATCCGATACCTTGCACTGATGGCCGAAATTGTGATGGTAAGCGGGCACGAAATTTTCAAAAAGCATTGTATAATACGGAGCGAGCCTTAACAATGTTACCACCTATAGTAAAATGTACCATTAACAGATGAATGAATTAAAAATTACTTGAGTTTGTATAGTTCTTACCTCTTCAATGAATAATTTAGTTTTGGCAATTTCTTCAGGATTTTGTTGTTTTTTCGGTATAGAAATAACACCCTCAGCCTTATCGATTACTACAGTATTTTGAGGCAGTTTGCTCAGCAAATCGTCCAAAGTACAAAGGCCATATTGTACAGGATTAAAAGGCCTGTGATGGGATTTTTCGTAAGCGGTGTGAAATTCTTGCATTGGCAATTGCCTGTTTGGTTGTCCTTTGAGCATTCTAAGCAAATCAGAGGTGAAACGACGTATTTGAGCCGAATGAGTAAGCGTGATAACTCTTCTATAGGCATCACCCATTAGCTAAAAAACAATTTTATTCAAATTACAATTATAAACAAACATAATCATCTTACCTGTACAACATGAGGAATAGCCTCTAACAATTCCAAAAGCTTCATATACCCATAATCAGCTACTCTTAATTGCTTACCAAAATGATGATGGTAAGAAGGCACAAAATTCTTAAAAACCATCTGACATTTCTCATTAGTCTTCAACAATTCAACAACTTCCCGGCACAAACAAACCATATTAGGAGCTAATGAAGGAGCAATACTTTTCCAAACTTGGTCTTCATTGTCTTGACTCTTATCCGTATTATGTTGAATTACTTTAATAGTCTTATTAGGGCCAACCAGTTGAATGCTGACATGTGGCACGCAAGTGACCAAATGCTCTAAAGGTACCCCATTAGGGGATTCAGGTAATGGTTCATGATACTCTTGTTCGTAGCAGCATTGGAAACTTACAAGTGGCATTGAGCCGCAATGGATGTTTAATAAAGTTAAGAGTTTTGGGGCAAATACTGACAACGGCACAAGAATATTTGGATAATTATCTTTGCGCCAACCCATTGTGTCTGATCTACAATGAATAATACAATTAGGCAGCATTGTTTGAGAAATAAATTGCGCATCCGGAGTGACTCTTAAGGCTTCTTCAGTCAAACCTACAACCCTGCCTCCAGTTTCATCACACCTAACTCTTACAACGTCTTTTATTTTATTAACATCAGCCACAGACATGTTGCACTGATACCTATCTTTAACAGTACTAAGTAGTTTAAATAAAGGCATTTGCTCATCTGGGGCTTCTTGCAATACGCTCACAGCCATAGCTTTAAGCTGTTTCAGATCCTGCTGATTATTATTGTGCTTATAGGCAATCGAAATACGTCTAGAGCCTAGTTTTTTCTTTTGCAAATGCGATATGACTAGTTGAGCGTCTTGCTGATTGGCCAAAGTTAGACTGGCCTGGATTTGACCATCCAATTGGGTGACTACTTTCAGGTGGACTATCATGACGTATTCTTTGATTAAATTGATGAGCAGACGTTTGACTGTTCGGATTTCCATGCCACTATCTAGGTTTGAGATTGTGAGTTCAACTGGTTGGTTGTCTTGGCCGTTGGGAAGGTCCGGAGGAATGTGAGCCTGAAATTTTTGGTCGATTAAGGCCTGGTTTATTCATCTTCAGATAAAGTTACTGTCTACAAGGCAAATAGTTGGTCGACCAATGGGATTATAGAAAGAAAATCAAAAAGTGAGTTAAACGAGCCTAAAGGGACGCTTTTTTTTTGATTTATTGTATTATGCTTTATTGTTCAAAAATGACACTGAGACAGTTTTTGCCTCACAGCTCTGTTCATTTTCATCTAATTTTAATGTAATTAGGCTCTTATTGAAGGCAATTGAATTCTCTACAAATGGCCATTGATGTAGCTTCAATAGTTCCATAGCTGCAAGGCTTGAAAGCTTTCAAAGTTTGATTTTTATCAAGGTCATTATTGCTTTGAACATTGGACAGCCCTTCTTGCTTTGAACATTGGACAACCCTTCTTGCAAACTGGTTGTCACTCCGGACCTGGGACAAATGACTAGGAATGGTGGACAAGGCACAAATGACTGGTAATAGTGGACATTAGGACAAATGACTACCTTAATGTTCCCAAATTCCTAAATCCAGTTTGTCCTTTTTCAGTTGGGAATGGTTTCAGGTCCAAATATGACATTAATGGATCACCTGAATCAGCAGAGGCCTTATGGATGGTTAATAATAATAATACATTTTTTTTTTTCATGACTGGCAATGGTGAACATTGGGACAAATGACTGGAAATAGTAGACATAGCCACAACTAACTGACAATGATCGACATGGCCATGGATTCAAATTTTGATAACTTTTCCCTTCCAGGTGAAATTACATATGTGTCAATTCCCAAAAAACAGTTCATGATTCGACTGAATCTTCAAGGCAGGGAAGCCCCGGGGGAGCCTAATACCATAGTTGTCCTGGACCTCATTTGTTGCACTAAATATACACCACTGTAAGTGTTTACAGTGGTGCCTTCCTAGCTGGCGAGTGAAGGTTGAATTAATGGATAACGGGCATAAGCGCAACTAGGCTCCAAATTAGAGGGGTGCTGCAGCACCATTTTGAAATGTGAAAGGATGAATTTTTCTTAATTTTACTTGACAAAGTCAATTTTTCAGAATTTTTCCTGTAGTGATTTTCCACTGGAAAATTTTGAAATTTTTTTTCTGCCAGTTTTCCAGAAAAAAATTAAAATTAAAAGAATTAATTTTGCTTAAAAGTTTTCCAGAACTTCTCCTTATTATCCTTATTCTCGTAATTTTGAAATGAGGAAAAATGAGGATAAAATCGCGGAAAGTGATGATAAAATCGCAAAAAAAAAGAGCCAAAAATCGCAAAAAAAATATGAGTCAAAAATTTCAAAAAAAGTGAGTTTAAACTCGCGGAAAAGTAAGATGAGACTCACGGAAAAATGAGAATAAAGTCATGAAAAGTGAGGATAAAATCGCGGAGAATGAAATAGGAATCGCGGAAAAGTGAGGATAACATCGCAACAAAAGGGAGACAAGAATCGCGGAAAAATGAGATAATATTCACAAAAAAGTGGGATTACAATCGCTAAAAAGTGGATTTAGAATCGGGGTAAGTGATGATAAAATTGTAAAAAAATGAGTCAAAAACTGCAAAAAAATTATTCAAAAATTACAGAAAAAGATTTGCGGAAAAGTGAAGTTAAAATCGCGGAAAATAGGGAAACAATCGCGGGAAAATGAGGTAAGAATCGCGGAAAAATGAGGATGAAATAGCGGAAAAATAATTTGTAATCGCCGAGGAGTGAGCGGCAAAAAAGTTAGGGTGAAATCGCAAAACAAGTAAGGATAAATTCGCAAAAAAGAGAGTCAAAAATCTTAAAAAGAGCCAAAAATCGCAAAAAAGTGAAGACAAAATTGCAAAAAAGTGGGTCAAAAATCGCAAAAAAAATGAGTCAAACATTTCAAAAAAAGTGAGTGTGAATTCGTGAAAAAGTGAGATAAGAATCGCGGAAAAATGAGGTAATATTTGCGGAAAAGTGGGTTTACAATCGCGGAAAAGTGAATTTAGAATCGCGGAGAAGTGATAGTAAAATCTAAGATTTCTAAATTATGACGTCATCGATGACGTAAGTAACTACAAAAAGTACAAAAATAAATAAATAATTTGGTTGCACTGATTTTTTATATTAGTTTTAGGTAGTGCCACTGTAGGTAGTGCTATGGTGAGATGCATAATGGGAGTGCTAATTTTTGCTTTAGAGGTGCTTAGCACCCCCAAGCACCCCCCTAGTTGCGCCTATGCTAACGGGGAAAGCACTTGAAAAAAAAAACGTACCGACAGCTCATACCTCTAGGGTGGTGTGGAAATTAAGCTTCAAGTTACAATTGACAAACCTAATAAGGTAAGTTATTGAAAATAAAACTTCCTAACAAGAAATTTAAATTGTTAACTTTTTGTTACAGGGCCGCACTAATACCCAAGAGTTTACTGCAAGATTTTTGAGGAAAGAAGCTGGAAAAAACACTGGAATCCAAATTATGTTAAGTTATGGTAGGAACTTCAAAAAATCCATGGTAAGATTTTACTGTTTGTCTAGTTTTTTTTCATTTTGAACACTGGAATCAAGAGCCAGACCAATTTGAACAAGTTTCTTGTCAAATAACTTTTAAATACCAGCTTCCTCTAAACATCCAAAGCTAATCAACTATTATATGGATGTACAGAGTGTTTTTTTATATATTAACTTCCCACCTACAGGTAGAAGAAACGTGTAAATACAAAAATTGTACAGTTTAGGATAAGCATGGGGATACCTGTCAATCCTGGTATATTATTAGGTGACAAGTAGATGTAAATGCATATAAAATGTGTGCATTTCTTAAACAATAAACAATAAACTACCTGTATATCGAATAGGATCAAGTTGTGGCTATGAACACTTTTAATCAAAATATTGAAACGAGCATCCATATGAAATTTTCAGAAAAATTGACCGATTCCCAAAATCCCATAAGAAGTGTGTGACATTGTCACATATTTTGATTTACAACTTTGTTAATTTTAATCTGATTTTAATGTAATTAGCTTTAAATTGGAACCAATTAAATTTTCTACAAGCCAGATGTTAATTTGGTTTCAAAATTGAAATTACTGAACATTGAAAATTTTCCAAAAATGACACTAACAAACACTCAAATGCCAAATTATTCGATGACTTTGTCATATTTTCCAAGATGTCTATCGCAAATAATGAAGATTTCAAGCAAATCTACGAAAACCTGGAAGAAAAAAGCAAAACCCTCTGCACCGAACTCGAAGAACGCCTCATAATAATAACCGCAACAGTGAAATCCCTAAAAACAGACATCAGCCTGGAAAAACAACTTTGGAAAGAAGAAATCCAGAAAACCATCGATCTGGAAAAGAAAATCTCCAAGCACAATCACGGAGATTACATTGAAACAATTCTAACAAAAGCTTTGAAGAAAAACAACGACAAAATTCAAAACGAAATTGTATACAAGCAACAATTACTTGAAGCCGAAAATATGTGCAACTTGGAAATGCTGAAAATCAAAAACAGCTTGGAATGCTTGGCCCCGTTACAAGCAATTGTAGAAGAATGGAATTATTGTGACAAATAAATAAATTGTTTTTCTTACCTTTGCATCACTATCACTAAACTCTGAGCTGTTACTTATCGAATGCACTCTATTGAAACCAAGCTGCATGGGTTCTAAATTTCTGTTACTGGATATTGGCCGAAAAGATTCCTAATAATAATTAATTATTAATTAAATAGGTACCTAAGTATGATTGATATACTTACTTGGTAAAGGTTTCCAAATCCAGGTGGAGGTTGTTGAGATTGTTGCTGGTAAAAGCCAGGGGGTGGAATGTTAAAGGCGCCAGCGCCTTGGAAATCTCCATTTTTCAGTCTCTGCCCGGTAAAACTTCGCACCGAGGGTGCCAGCACTCTGATTTTTTGTCCGAACACGTCTTCGCCCTGAATACGTTTTTGGGCCCTGAAAATTATTTCACAAAATGATGGATTTTTGATAATAATAATGCTCTACCTGTTGTATTTATCGTAGGGCTTAAAATGGGCCATTTTTACTAAGGGAGAAAATTGATTTAAATGTTGAAAATTTAAATAAAATTATTTAAAAGGTGTTCAACATTTTAACGTGGCCCTGACTGATTTTTTTCTTTTAATTTTTTTGTGTGTTCTCAGGCAGGAATTTTGTTTATTTTAGTTTGCAGCAATGATAAATAAATGGCGCACAATTCAAATAATTATTACAATAACTTGCCTTAAAGCTAAATCAGAATTTCCAAATTTAAGTGTAGCGACGCCCTCGTCGGTATTTAGTTCAGTACATTTGCCTCCGCAATTGTAAGACAAAAATTTCAGTCTGTTTTTGATTTTTCCTTGGTCAATGTTTCTTGGTAGATTTACTATTGTTAGAAAGCAGCCAGCGTTATTAGGGTCCTAAAATAATAAGGGAATTTGGTTCGATGTTGAAACTATTTTCTACCTAGGAAAGGGCTGAACGGTTTAATTTTCTTTTTAATTAAATTCTCTATACTTGAATCTGTGTGAAATTGAGTCTGATAGCTCGAAATCTAAAACGAGTCTTAATGTCATTTTTTGGAAATCTAATCTTTTCAAAATTACATTGATATACATTTTGCCTCATACTTTTGTTATTAATTTCAATCCGATCTTAACGTAATTAGGCTTAAATTGAAGCCAATTAAATCCTTTACAAATGTCTAATGAATCATTTTAATGCAGCTTCAATAGTTTCAAGGCTACAATGTTCCAAATTATTTAAAGATTGATTTTTATTAAGGTGAATGAGCAGAGGGAAATTTTTATTATTATTATTTTAAATTTCAATCCTTTCTTTATCCGCTTGCAAAATTTCAATTCAATCTTTCAAACATATTTCTCAAAAAAAAACTAAAACGTGCCTCAATGTCATTTTTTGGAAATTTGGTTTTTCCAAAATGACATTGATTCACATTTTGCTTCATAACTTTGTTAATTTCAATCCGATCTTAACGTGATCAGGCTTGAATTAAAGTCAATTAAATCCTCTACAAATATCTAATAAATCATTTCAATGCAGTTTCAATAATTTCAAAGCTACAACGTTTCAAAGTCTTTAGAGATTGATTTTTATCAAGATGAATGTCAGGAATGAGCAGAAGGAAATTTTAATTTTTTTTTTTTCTTAAATTTCAATCCTTTCTCTATCCACTTACAAAATTTCAATTCAATCCTTCAGACATTTTCCTCAAAAAAAAACTAAAACTTGCCTCAATGTAATTTTTTGGAAATTTGATTTTTCTCAAAATACATTGATACACATTTTGCCTGATAACTTTGTTAATTTTAATTCAATCTTGAATTAAAGCCAATTAAATCCTCTACAAATATCTAATGAATCATTTCAATGCAGCTTCAAGTCACGTCCGTTCAGCACTTACATAATAATTACCAATGATTTTTTAGGAGTATTTGCTGGTAAATTTTCCACCAGTGTCATGAAAAGGTGGTGCTCATTGGCACACAAAATCAAAGCATCAGCCACATTTACGTTGTGCACCAAAATCACTCTGACTTTCTTTCTATGTCTCAAATCAGACAAGTCAGGGGCAAAATTAATATCACCTGTAATTAACAGTATAGAAGAAGGTGCTGGATGAATATCTGCAAATCTTCTAATTGATTGTCTAAGTTTTTCATCAGCTGCGTTTTTTGATGTCGAAGAAACATGAATTAGATTCACCTAAATAATATGAATATGAATAATAGAATTTTTTCAAACAAATTTTTACTTGAGAATCATTCAATTCTTGTACAATTTGGGGATGCTCCTTTGTAACGTCACAAACCACTACGAATTCCGATTCTCGGTAGTTTTCCAGGAAGATTTCTCTGATTTTTTGGACCACTGCTGAGGCGCTTTTCATTTTCGGTACCCGTACGTTTTCGATGTCCCAAAATATGCCCATAGGTGGCAGTTTTCTGGCAAATCCTGGCTTTTTTCTGTGCTTTTTTGTACTATTTTGTGCTGCTATAATAATGAGAAAATTGTCTCATTCATATACAGACTGTTCGGAAAAAAGTGGAAAACCATTAAAGATACAGACAGGATGGACCAAATGAAGAAAAAGTTGGGCAATCAAGTGCCTACAAATAATCTGTAATCAACTTCTTCTAACTTGAAATAATAACGGATATACAGGGCAAAAAAGAAAATCTAGTTTCTAAGGTAGGAGTGGGGCTGGATGTTGGGTTTCCATACGTCCGGATTTACCCGGACATGTTTGGGTTTTTAGGGTGTCCGGGGAAGTCCGGCTGGAATTCGGAACAATGTCCGGAGAACTTGAAGATCGTGGAAACACTCGTACTCACTCAGTTTACACACTATTCAAAAGACGTAAAATTTTACTTCACGCATTAGTACATAAAATAATTCATTTCACACACTACTGCGTGAAGTGAAGTAATGTCATTGACAGATGTGGATACTAATTTTTTTCTAGTAAATTACTCCACTTTACGATTTACGTACTAGTATACGTAAAGTATTTGTCTAAATCTATTTTTTCATTCTACATATTTTATTGGTAGTGAAATTTTTTTGTATATGCAATAATTGTGTAAAGTAAACCTTTTTTCACGAATGTGAATTTTGTCGCACTTGTCTTTCACTTTACACACTTGTTGCATAAATGGCTATTTCGGCGAAGTCCGGATTTTGTCCAGATTTCTCGACTCCTTTGTCCTGAATTTCGAAAAACCTTTATGGAAACCCTATCTGGATGTAATGCCTTATTTGGTCCACCCCGTATCTTCAATTGATTCCCCATGTACTTCAAGTTATTCCAGACACCCTGTATACAAAATTTTTTAATTTATCAGTTGTTTTTCTAGAAGCGTTCGTGAAACCCCACTTTTCGCATGCGGAAAAGTGTCACTTTCCTCACTAGTTAGGAAATATACTATTTGTTTTACCTGTATCAAAATTACTACTTGAACTTCCATCAGATTGGGGTGAACTTCTAAAGGAATTGTTAGCACTGAAGGCCTGTCTGATTATTGGGGCTCGACGCCTGGGTCTGGTCGCCGTGTTATCGGACAAATTGAGAACCCCGATGTCGAAAATGGGGCCCAAATCGTTCGAATCCGTAGAGTCGCGCTCCGAAGCCATCCCTACATTATTTTTAAAGCTTAAATTTAAATTTGAGTATACAAAAATATAAACAATAAACAATTGAAGAGAGGATGTAAATATAAGTGAAGTTGGTTTTTCGGAGTAGGAGTATCTTTGTCTTTTATATGGAGTTGGAAAAGGAACGACTCTAAACTAGACTCATTTTTAGTGAAGATTATTTTTCTAAAATCCTGACATGGTGGTGAATCAGCGTTGCCAGACTCTAGATATGGAAGTGTGGTACACAATGCTCAAAAACTGTCGTACAGGGACGTACGCACCACGAATACTTGTGGTACACATTACCTCACATAATACATTTTTAGTAGGTACATACCTATTTACTAGAAAAAATATGATTTTTTTCAAGAACGCAAAATAGTGGAAACTTAAAAATAGACCTTACATTAAAAATTACAGCAACAGGAAGGAGTAACGGGAAATCAAATGAAACTATTTATTAAATTTATTGAGGTACTTTGTAGGTACTTAGTCAAATTGAAACAAATTCTTTTGTAACGTTGATGCTCGATTATGTAATGTGTTAATTGTGTTATGCTCTCCTAACTCCCCCACCATCAAATTCTGGGATACTCGAGGATCAAGAACACTTAAGCTGTTTTCTTGCGATGGAACTTGTTCGATCCGGTTCAATTAGTTTCGAACCTATACATTCTTGCGTTGAACCAGTGACGTCACATTGAACCTGGTTCAGAAAAATTCGAACCGGAATCATAACTTATTCTTCGTTAACATAAGACTGTGGTTCAAACCTTCCATTTTCTCGCGTTCATAAGTAATGTCATCTACAAATTGGTTTAAACCGTAATTGAACCATTCGCCCCGCGAGAAAACGCTTTTAATTTCTTCTGTGTTAAAACAGACCAAAAATCACCTTTTCTACATTTAAAATCGACAAAATTTAACTCACTAGAACAGCCTAAATCGCAAGCACTCCATCGAGGTCTGCGGGCGACGTCATCGCTATAAGATGCTGATAGTGACGTCGCAGGCCCAGAATTTGATGGTGAGGGAGTTAGGGGAGTATGACATAATTGACACATCACATAACCCATCATAATCACATGCAAGGTTATCAAGCAAGGTACCCAAACTCCGCCCAAACCCAATTTGGCCAACACACATAAGAAAAAAAGGAGAATTTCAAAACTGTGGTACATTACCGTACTACCGTACGCATTGATTTTCTTGTAACGAAGATGCCCTAAACTGTCGTACAAATACCACACCTGTCGTACGTCTGGCAACGCTGTGGTGAATAATCACTTAATTATTTCTAAAGATACAAAGGTAGAGAAGTTGGTTATTCTAATGCGCAAGGTATGTAATGACTTTCTCTACCAAGGAATATGTATATCAATTTTTTGCTACTACTGTTAGGTAGTAGAGAATAAAAAATAAGTTTGAACTCTGTGCTCAAGCTATTTTTTTTTGAATGCCTTGTCGAAAGTGCTACCCTCTATCCACAGCTCAAGGTAATTTCCTATGATATACATATAGGAACCTGTTTTTTTTTTTCTCGACCTAAGTTTTTTTTTAATTATTTTCATTATCAACCTAGGGAGAAAAATTCAATTTTTTTTCTTAGGAAAATAGATTGAATAATGACACTACTTCTTAGGTTAGTAGTGAAAAATAGTATATTATATACCTAGGTAGAGAAGTTGGTCATTATATACCGAAAGCTTTTATAAACCGAGGCGCGCAGCGCCGAGGTTTAGAATGCTTGAGGTATATAATGACTTTCTCTACCGAGGAATATATAGAATTTTTTTTACTACTGCTAGTAAAAAATAAAAAAATTGTTTAAAATCTGTGTTCTAATTATTTTTTGTGAACGCCCTCTTGAAAGTGCTGCCCTCTATCAACAGCTTATATAACTTCCTATGTACCTACAGAAACCTGTTTTTTTTTTCAAATTGACGTATGAAATTGAAATGGAACCAATAGAAACATGACAATATCCTTGCGTCATGACGTCATTTTCACTATTAACGTAGGTATTTTTTCATTATTTTCATTATTAACCTAGGGAGAGAAATTCAATTTTTTCCTAGAAAAATAGATTGAATAATGACGATTTCCCAGATTAGTAGTAAAAAAAAACTATTATAAAAGAGTTTCCTTGTACATACTTCTGGCGAACTACGTGCAATATGACGTCATGAGTTTCTCGCGAAAGCGTTTGTGTTCATGAAATCATGGAAGTAGTTCGTCGCGAAAATTCAATTTTACACAGACTGAACTTGTTATCTAGTTTGCACTGTCAGCACTTTTAGCATGCTATGCCATTTATAGCGAATTCTATTGTAAGGAGTAATGCTCACTGAGTGTATTCGTGTCTTTTTCTACTAGCTTGCATAAGAAAGAGATAAATATAGATTTTTTGTACTGGTTCTACCAATATACTTTGCTATAATCACAAAACGCTATAATTCAAAAGTTTTTGGGGAAACCCACAGTTTGGTTTCGTTATTTGTTGGTAGTACAGAAAAATTGTTTTTCCTACGAGCGTGCGCAAAGTAGTACTTTTCCGCACGCATTTCCGGGCTCAAAGTTACACTTTTCCGCACTCAGTGCGGATACAGGCCTTATCCGCACTGAGTGCCGAAAAGTAATTATAATTATGTCAAGCAACAATAAGTGCACCTGTCGACTTTGACACATGATGACAAATTTTTCCTCTATTTCTATATCAGCCAACATCTATACAAACACCAATTATAAATTAACTTTGACCCATCAGATTTGTTCTCTATTTATATGCAAAAATCTATAAACTTTCTCATCAAATTTAAACGCTTTAAGATGAACAGCTCTGACGAGGATTTTCTGTTATTTGTTTCTGTTATGTAATTTTTTGATAAATGCATAGGTTCCTTTCAAGTTAATTAAAAATAATTAAACAAATTATCGTTTTTTTTTTTTTTAATTTTTGTTATTACCTACCTGATATGAAGCTCGTAGGAAAAATGTTGTTCCTAACACGTGCGCAAAGTGTCTTTTCCGCACGCAAACACGTATCCGAACTCCGCTTCGCGTCGTTCGTATAACTGTGTTTGCGTGCGGAAAAGTAACACTTTGCGCACTTGTTAGGAAAATAACTATTTCCTACAACCGTGCGGAAAAATCAATTTTCCGCACTGATATGCGTGCGGAAAATGAGTTTTCCCGCACGGTGCGGTAAAACTTTTTTTTTTGACATATCAGTGCGGAAAAAGTTTTTCGGCACGGCTGTCAGTGCGGAAAAAATTTTACCGCACTGATATGTCAAAAAAAAAAAGAAAAATTTTACATTTTTCGCCTGTAAGAAAAATATTGTACCTAACACTTGCGGAAAATATTTTTCCGCACTTGTTAGGTAAATAGCTATTTTCTACGAGCGTGCGGAAAAAGCTCATTTTCTGCACGCATTGGCCTGCGGAAACAATAATTTTTCCGCACGTCGTCGCGTCCTGAATGAAGAAATGCTGAATGGTCAATAATTGTAAATTTAGCAAAAGCAAAATAATGTAAAACAAATGTTGCAGATTCTATCTTGGTAGTAATCGCTAATGTAGACAGTAGAAACTTTGGGCAAGAATCTGATATGGTCAAAATACCATCATCATGTGATTAGCTGTCAATTTGCATCAGCATGTTGTTAATTGCTCCATATATAGATTCATTTTTATTTTTGTATTTTTTATTGTCTACTCGTAGGAAAAATTGTGTTCCTAACACTTGCGGAAAATAATTTTTTTACGAGCGTGCGAAAAAGTGTACTTTTCTGCACGAATTTTAGGTCATGAAAGTATCACTTTTCCTCACTAGTGCTTTTCCGTATTTGGTAAAAGTAAGTAAAATACCTGAAATTTTTAGGTATACAGGTACTTATGGCCGTTTCCACCAACTATTTAAGGGGAGCCTTAACGCTAAGTATTCCCTAAAATGACATTTTTACATAGAGAAATGTCAGTTTAAGGAATACTTATCGTTAAGGGCTTCCCTAAACTAGTTGGTGGTCTTGGTGGAAACGGCCATTAAGGTACAGGTAAACCAGGTATACTACAGGTAGGTACAGGTAAACAGGTATACTACAACTACAGGTAGGTGCAGGTATGAAAAAGTAAAAAAAAATATCTTAAATTGATAAATATATAGGCAAAAATATTAACTTTCATCTCGTAGAAAAAATAGTGTTCCTAAGTCACGCGGAAAGCCTCTTTTCCGCTCTTGATTGCTTGCTGAACTCCGCTGCAAACTGCAATCGCGTGCGGAAAAGTGGTACTTTCCGCACCTGTAAGGAAAATAACTATTATTTGTAGTTTTAGTTTGCTTGGGTTGCAGTGCTCATCAGGTACCTACCTAATAGGTAATCACACCTTGTCATTTCAAGGTTCAGGTGCAACAGAGAGTTGACGATGTCAGTGAGTCACCATCAAACATAGCAAATCATCAGTTTGATTGAACAATTCTCGTATTTTAGAATTTCAGGCTCTTGATTTTTTTTTTAAATTTATACTCCTGGCTCTTCCTAATGTTTTTCTTCCAAAATGATTTTTTTGTAAGTACAGGGTGATCTATTATAAATGTCACCCCCTGCTAACTTTCTCATTTGACGTTTTTGACATAAGTGTCAAATACAAAAGTTTTAAGAAATTGTCAAAAGTTTTCAACTAAGTCAGTTTTAGGCATAAAAGTGCAGCAGTATGAAGTAACATTTTTTTTAAATGGAACACCCTGTATATTGTGCGCTTTTATTGTTAGTTACCTTTAACCTGATTTCAACGATATACGGTTTGATATGTTTATCTCTCGGTTTATCTTCAATAGTTATAGGGAAAAACGCGAAAATCTCTTCCTAGCAGGTCTCTCATGTTTATTTTTAAAAAAATAATAATGTTAACTTTAGACATCTGGGTTTTATCATAATATTTCACCTTGTATATTAATGAATAAGATTTGAACAATAAACTGTTCATAAAAAAATTCTCCATAGATTAAATGGTATAATTTTTCTTTTTTCAATATGATACCTTGAAAGGGGTTTTCATGTTTTTTCCTATAACTATTGAAGATAAACATATCAAACCGTATATCGTTGAAATCAGGTTAAAAGGGACTTACAAATAGGCGCACAATATACAGGGTGTTTCATTTTAAAAAAATATAACTTCACCCTGCTGCACTTTTTTGACACACCCTGTATGCCTGAAATTGACTTAGTTAAAAACTTTCGATAATTTCTTGAAACTTTTGTATCTGACACTTTTGTCAAAAATGTCAAATCAAAAATTTAGAAGGGGGTGACATTTATAATAGATCACCCTGCACTTACCTTTGTTTTCGTTTAAAAGAAATCTAGAATTTAAGAGCCTAGTGTTCCTTTAACTTGTTTGCTAGCCCAGAAAACTTTCTTACCAACCAAGAAATTTCCTAAATAAATCAACAACCAATAGGTATTATAATAAAAATTAAATTTATTTTCAATTTATCTGGAAAAAAAATACTTTTATCTATGTACCACGGAAATTATAAGGTGTTGGTGTCCGGGACATAAACTTTGCCCTGGGGTATTAACACCCTCATCATACATCCCTTGATACATAAATAACTATTATAAAGGCACATTAACTGACTCAATACAAAAAAAAATATAAAATGGCACAAACAACAAAAAGTTTTGTTTCCCTCACACTTTAAAAGAGAGAAATTAATTACATAATTTAAAAAAGTAAAATGCAATAATTAATAATGGAAGTACATAATTTATAATTTGTTTTGGAGTTTTTGCAATAAGCAACAGCTTCTAAGTACATAAACGAAAGCTTCAAAAGCATTAACACAGATAAATTTATATAGCACACAATAAAGACTTCTCAGGGTTTTCATTAAGGCACTTATTAATTCTTCAAATGATGATTCCCGTTTTCCAAAATGGCAAAATCCGATGGCAACACGTAAGCAATATTGCTGCCGTCTTTTTTAAAAGAAGCATTTTGAATTTCGGCCGAAACTTGTATGTTGATCATGCGCTGCTTACCCCCTAAACAACATTGAATTGTTTTGCTTACTTTAACTGGTAAGTCTGTGTTTCGTAATCTGAAATAAGTAATTTATTAGTTAAAGAAATAGTCCATCTTTCAAATTGGAGTTGAAATTCAATTCCTAAAGAGTTAAGACTATGGAAAAACTTACTGATAAAATTTATTGCAAATAGTCCCGACGCATTCTCCAACTCTATCTTCTTGTTTCAAGCAATGCAAGGACACAACTAAGTCGTTACCATTAGGACAATGTAGGACTATTAGTTGGTCTTGTCCAGGACTAACGCTTATTCCAGTTAAATCTTTCAACGGAACTCCTTCTTTCATGTTTCTAAACTTTTCACAGTCCAATTTGAAAATGTATTGGTCTGTTACAATCATAATTCTTTCAGCCACTTTATTGAACTTATTGAATTTTGTTACATAAGAACTAAACAAAACTTGTCCGAAATGTTTAGTGTTTCTTAAATTATTAACAGCCTCGTTGAATGTTGGATAATTACTGTTTTCATCCAGCCGGGATAAGTAATTGCCTTCCCATTTCCTGTTGATACCGTAATGAGCTCGTTTGTTGATCAGCACACTGGCAGCGGAAATTTTCAGTTTCATCTGAGCCCAATCGGGTTTCGGTACTTTGCTCAGAATCATGTAGGCTCGCCATCTGTTGAATGCCATACGGAATAATCTTGCTGTATCCTGAAAATAGATATAAATGCACATGAAATTATTTTTTTTTAGAAAATTTGTAACTTAATTGCTTTGAAATTTCAGTATGTTTTGCTCAAAAGTTTCAAAAATAATAATTCAAGACTTGTTAAGTTTTTTTTTTTTCACTAGAAAAGTGCATTTTGTAAGAAAATTGTAACTTTGTTGTTTGCAGCTAATTTGCTTCGAAATTTTAGTATGTTTTGCTCCAAAGCTTCAAAAATAACTCCTCAAAATTTCATATTCCTGCCTTTTGCAGTTTTGGAGTAAATAGTTAGGATATGAAGGCTTGTCAAAGATGATTTTACCAAAAAATTACATTTTTCTAGAAAATTTGTAGCTTTGTTGTTTGCAACTCAACTGCTATGAAATTTAAGTATGTTTTGCTCCAAAGCTTCAAAAATAACTCCTCAAAATTTCATATTCCTGCCATTTGCAGTTTTGGAGTAAATAGTTAGGATATGAAGGCTTGTCAAAGATGATTTTACCAAAAAATTGCATTTATCTAGAAAATTTGTAATTTGGTTGTTTGCAGCTCAATTGCTTTGAAATTTAAGTATGTTTTGCTCCAAAGCTTCAAAAATAACTCCTCAAAATTTCATATTCCTGCCATTTGCAGTTTTGGAGTAAATAGTTAGGATATGAAGGCTTGTCAAAGATGATTTTACCAAAAAATTACATTTTTCTAGAAAATTTGTAACTTTGTTGTTTGCAGCTCAACTGCTATGAAATTTAAGTATGTTTGGCTCCAAAGCTTCAAAAATAACTCCTCAAAATTTCATATTCCTGCCATTTGCAATTTTGGAGTAAATAGTTAGGATATGAAGGCTTGTCAAAGATGATTTTACCAAAAAATTGCATTTTTCTAGAAAATTTGTAACTTGGTTGTTTGCAGCTCAATTGCTTTGAAATTTCAGTATGTTTTGCTCCAAAGCTTCAAAAATAACTCCTCAAAATTTCATATTCCTGCCATTTGCAGTTTTGGAGTAAATAGTTAGGATATGAAGGCTTGTTAAAGATGATTTTACCAAAAAATTACATTTTTTCTAGAAAATTTGTAGCTTTGTTGTTTGCAGCTCAACTGCTATGAAATTTAAGTATGTTTGGCTCCAAAGCTTCAAAAATAACTCCTCAAAATTTCATATTCCTGCCATTTGCAATTTTGGAGTAAATAGTTAGGATATGAAGGCTTGTCAAAGATGATTTTACCAAAAAATTACATTTTTCTAGAAAATTTGTAATTTGGTTGTTTGCAGCTCAATTGCTTTGAAATTTCAGTATGTTTTGCTTCAAAGCTTCAAAAATAACTCCTCAAAATTTCATATTCCTGCCATTTGCAGTTTTGGAGTAAATAGTTAGGATATGAAGGCTTGTCAAAGATGATTTTACCAAAAAATTGCATTTTTCTAGAAAATTAGTAACTTTGTTGTTTGCCGCTCAACTGCTTTGAAATTTTAGTATGTTTTGCTCCAAAGCTTCAACAATAACTCCCCAAAATTTCATATTTCTGCCATTTGTAGTTTTTGAGTAAATAGTTAGGATATTATGAAGGCTTGTCAACAATGATTTTATTAAAAAATGCATTTTTCTAGAAAATTTGTAACTTTGTTGTTTGCAGCTCAATTGCTTTGCAGTTTTAGTACGTTTTGCTCCAAAGCTTCAAAAATAACTCCTCAAAATTTCATATTCCTGTCATTTGCAGTTTTGGAATAAATAGTTAGGATATGAAGGTTTGTCAAAGATGATTTTACCAAAAAATTACATTTTTTCTAGAAAATTTGTAACTTTGTTGTTTGCAGCTCAATTGCTTTGAAATTTTAGTATGTTTTGCTCCAAAGCTTCAAAAATAACTCCTCAAAATTTCATATTCCTGCCATTTGCAGTTTTGGAGTAAATAGTTAGGATATGAAGGCTTGTCAAAGATGATTTTACCAAAAAATTGCATTTTTCTAGAAAATTTGTAACTTTGTTGTTTGCAGCTCAATTGCTTTGAAATATTAGTATGTTTTGCTCCAAAGCTTCTAGAATAAATCCTCAAAATTTCATGTATCTGTCATTTGTAATTTTTGTGTAAATAATTAGGATATCAAGGATTGTTATTCACTTAATTATCTAGTTTTTCTAACATCGAAAGTAAATGTAGCTAGAACTTACATGTAAGGCCTTTGGAGGTGCAGGCCATATAACACTTTTACCATAATCCCTCATAGATTTCGCCTTATGGAACTTAGCATAAAGCTGATTAATATACACCCTCATTTTCTTAAGTCTGTAGGCTTTAATCATCACCATTAAGGCCTTCATTTTTTTGTACAACTGCCTAGCCTTATATCCTAAAAGTAAAATCAATAACCAACTACCAATTAATCAATTAAATTATAATTACCTCTCCAAGTTTTCTGTATCAAAGTAACTATACTAGGCAAAAGTTCATTTCTGGAATTCTCCAAAGCAAATAAAGTTCTTGGAGATCTTATAAACAATTTTGTTTTGCCATATTTTACATCGCTATCAAATCCGGTTTCCTTCATAAGCATTTGGACGCCGTCTTTGTCTGATCCTCTTCGATAATTAGGCCAAGTGTAATGTGATATCATTTTGTATCTTTTGAGGAATTTGTCGTATCTTTGCCTGTGAGCAAAGCCTGCCCTTCTCACTCTAACATTTTCTAGTAGGCCTAAATAGTTGACTTGATGTTTCACTCTTTCATAGTCAAATGCTGAAGCTGATTTTACTTCGTTTGGTTTTATACATCTTACGTAGTGAGGCTCTTTGCTTATTAGAGTTTTTACTAGTTCTTGCATTGAGGTTTTAAATAAGGTACCTGCTGTTGGAGGTCTTTTGGTAATCTACAATTAATTAGTTATTATTATCGAAGCTAAAACTATTTAAATAATTACTTGTGTAATGTGTTGAGCACCCTCTGGCCACATTTCTTTTAAATTTTTATCGTTTGAATTGTAAAGCAGTCTTTTAAAGTCTTGGAACAAAGTGTCCTTGTTTTTGTCCAAAAAACCAATAATGCAATAAGTAACATCTCCAGCATAATGAGTAATTCTAATAATAATAAATTAATTACAATTACATACAATAGTATTTGTGTAGGTGCAAACAAACCTAAAATCAATTTTATGCCTTAAATTTTTCTCAGTAGTCTTCGTTTGCCTCGAAGTGAAATGTTTGTGGCCTTTTAGTTGTTTGTCCATTGCTTCCAATAATAATTCGTCTGTTATTTTTTCGGCAGTCATTTTGCTGGCATCGTCCATGATTGCCATAACACCTTAATTGAAATAAATTTTAGTTTAAATTTACAAATAAATGAATATTACCTTTGTGTGGTGCCTCAACTAAATCACAAATAATCTGATTGTTAAAATACTCAATATTTGTCCATTCGATGCCTTCTCGATTGTATTCTTCTTGTTCTTGTTTTAGAACCAACTCGATGAATAATTGTTGTAGTTTTTCGTTACAATAGTTAATACAAAATTGCTCGAAACTATTATTATCAAAAATCTCGAAACCGTAAATGTCCAAAACTCCTATTAAAGAGCTCTTGTAGATTTTTTGGAAGTTTTGCGAATCTACGCTTATGGCGGAATTGATTCTTTTGACGATCCAGCTGAAAAGTCTTTCGTAGATTGCCTTGGAAAAAGCGTCCCGGCCAAAGGAGGCTTCGGATTCTGTATGTTCTTTACGCATTATGTCGCCTCTGGCTGCTATGACTCTTTCACATAGAGCTACTTCTAAATCTTTCTTTTTTACCTAGAAAAAAATGATTATTAATTAAATATCTAAAGTCAGACCTGAAATAAGAAATTCTTAATTTTTCTGTTCCAATTAGAACCTAATTTCAATCCGATTTCAAGGATTGAAATTAACAAAGTTATGACTTTGTACTTTGAAGAGTCGCAGCTTCGAAATTATTGAAGCTGCATTGAAATGATTCATTAGACATTTGTAGAGGATTTAATTGGCTTCATTTCAAGCCAAATTACATTGAAATCGGATTGAAATTGACAAAGTTATGACACAAAATGTATATCGATGTCATTTTGAAAAAATCAAATTTCCAAAAAAATGACATTGAGCCACGTTTTATTTTTTTCTGAGGAAAATGTTTAAAGGATGGAATTGAAATTTTGCAAGTGGATAGAGAAAAGATTGAAATTTGAGAAAAAAAATTGAAATTTCCTTCAGTCAGTCACTTCAATATAAATCAAACTCTGAAGACTTTGAAGTGTCGCAGCTTCGAAATTATTGAAGTTACATTGAAATGATTCATTAGACATTTGTAGAGGATTTAATTGGCTTCATTTCAAGCCAAATTACATTGAAATCGGATTGAAATTAACAAAGTTATGACACAAAATGTATATCGATGTCATTTTGAAAAAATCAAATTTTCAAAAAATTACATTGAGCCACGTTTTATTTTTTTCTGAGGAAAATGTTTACAGGATGGAATTGAAATTTTGCAAGTGGATAGAGAAAAGATTGAAATTTGAGAAAAAAAATTGAAATTTCCTTCAGTCAGTCACCTCAATATAAATCAAACTCTGAAGACTTTGAAGAGTCGCAGCTTCGAAATTATTGAAGTTACATTGAAGTGATTTATTAGACATTTGTAGAGGATTTAATTGGCTTCATTCCAAGCCAAATTACATTGAAATCGGATTGAAATTAACAAAGTTATGACACAAAATGTATATCGATGTCATTTTGAAAAAATCAAATTTTCAAAAATTTACATTGAGCCACGTTTTATTTTTTTCTGAGGAAAATGTTTAAAGGATGGAATTGAAATTTTGCAAGTGGATAGAGAAAAGATTGAAATTTGAGAAAAAAAATTGAAATTTCCTTCAGGTCAGTCACCTCAATATAAATCAAACTCTGAAGACTTTGAAGAGTCGCAGCTTCGAAATTATTGAAGTTACATTGAAGTGATTTATTAGACATTTGTAGAGGATTTAATTGGCTTCATTCCAAGCCAAATTACATTGAAATCGGATTGAAATTAACAAAGTTATGACACAAAATGTATATCGATGTCATTTTGAAAAAATCAAATTTTCAAAAAATTACATTGAGCCACGTTTTATTTTTTTCTGAGGAAAATGTTTAAAGGATGGAATTGAAATTTTGCAAGTGGATAGAGAAAAGATTGAAATTTGAGAAAAAAAATTGAAATTTCCTTCAGGTCAGTCACCTCAATATAAATCAAACTCTGAAGACTTTGAAGAGTCGCAGCTTCGAAATTATTGAAGTTACATTGAAATGATTCATTAGACATTTGTAGAGGATTTAATTGGCTTCATTTCAAGCCAAATTACATTGAAATCGGATTGAAATTGACAAAGTTATGACACAAAATGTATATCGATGTCATTTTGAAAAAATCAAATTTCCAAAAAAATGACATTGAGCCACGTTTTATTTTTTTCTGAGGAAAATGTTTAAAGGATGGAATTGAAATTTTGCAAGTGGATAGAGAAAAGATTGAAATTTGAGAAAAAAAATTGAAATTTCCTTCAGTCAGTCACTTCAATATAAATCAAACTCTGAAGTCTTTGAAGAGTCGCAGCTTCGAAATTATTGAAGTTACATTGAAATGATTTATTTGACATTTGTAGAGGATTTAATTGGCTTTATTTTGGGCCCAATTAGGTCAAGATCGGATTGAAATTAGCAAAGTTGTGAGGAAAAATATGTAACAATGTCATCAAAGTTCTGATAAAACAACAACAACAGGGACTGGATTGAAACTTTTCAAATAGATAGAAATTCAAGAGCCTGGAATAAACAAAAAATTAAACTACAGACTTGAAATTTTTACCTGTAACAAAGAAGCCACATCATCCACATGCTTAGACTGTTTAAGCTCCAATTTATCTTCGACAATATCAAATTCGACATTTCCAAGATGCAGTATTGCCGCTACAACTTTCCACAAAGTATCCTGATCCTCTTTACTAAACTGTAAAGTGTTTAAGGACATTGTCATGTCCCGAAAAAGCGTCTTGTCGTTGATACTTTCAACCCTGGCAGCATTACCTTGTTTAATGTAGAAATACTTGTCCGGGCTTCTAGATATGTTCAGTCTTTTTAGTAAATCGTCATTGGCTCCAATGAGAAGCTAATAATTTATTAGTAAATTAGATTGATTTAAACATTTTGGTAAATTACATACTTGATAAAAACAATGAAAATTTCTTTCGCCAGGTTGCTGTGTTGTGACTCTGGATTTTTCCAGTAAATAATTGCTTATGTGGCCTCCAATAGGGTCTCCTTTGAAATCGAAATGTATATCCATGTATTTACCAAATCTTGAAGAATTGTCGTTTCTGTTGGTTTTCGCATTTCCAAAGGCTTCCAGGATTGCATTTGATTGGATCAAGACGTTTTTAACTCGTTCGATTTCATGTTTACCCTCTGAAATTTTCGAATAATTATTATAATGGACATTATTAGGTTTTTGGTTTAAGTTAATTGAATAAAACACAACAATATTAGAAGAAAAATTAATACAATATTCAGCAATTCAAAACATATAAAGCTGGCACTCTATATATATAGTTACTTTGTTTGTTTGTTCCATCTTGGCGTGGTAAAATTCCTGTTGAGAAAACTTATAATAATAAAACTATAGTTTATTGTTATAAGAAAACAATGTTCAATGATACTTAATCAGTTGGGAAAAATCTCTATATGTATTATTATTGCATATAGTAATTATTTATTTTCAATTAATTAATTGTGAAAAAAAAAGAAAATAATTATTTCTTGATCTTGAATCAATCATTTTGATTATTCTTATCAATAATCAATTACCTTGATTAGTTACTGCGGCAATGTACTTCATAATAATTTTGGAAGCTTCAGTTTTGCCTGATCCCGATTCTCCACTGATTACGATACAAGTATCCCTGCCTTGTTGTTTCATTACTTTATGGGAAGCATCGGCTATGGCGAAAATGTGAGGTGGATTCTCGAATAGTTCTCTGCCTAAAAATGGGAAATTATTGATTATTTTTCCATTCCAGGCTCTAGGATTTTTTTTATTCTGAGAAGTGTTTGTAGAGATTTTAATTGGCTACAATTTGAGCCTAATTACGTTCAAATCGGATTGAAATTAACAAAGTTGTGAAGCAAAATATGTTCCAATGTCATTTTGGAAAAAATCAAATTTTCATAAAACGACATTGAGGGACGTTTAATTTTTTACTCAGGAAAATAGTTGAGCGATTGGATTGAAATTTTGCAAGTGGATAGAAAATAGATTGAAATTTGGGAAAAAAAATTAAAATTTCCTTATGCTCTCCTACCCTAATACACATCAGAATCAGAAAACTTTGAAGCCTTGCAGCTTCAAAACTATTGAAGGTGCATTGAAATTATTCATTAGAAATTTGTAGAGAATTTAATTGGCTTCAATTTGAGCCTAATTACATTTAAATCGGATTGAAATTAACAAAGTTGTAGAACAAAATATGTGACAATGTCATTTTAGAGAAATCAAATTTCCATAAAATGACATTGAGGGACGTTTTATTTTTTTCTCAGGAAAATAGTTGAGCGATTGGATTGAAATTTTGCAAGTGGATAGAAAATAGATTGAAATTTGGGAAAAAAAAAAAAAAAATTCTTCTGCTCTCCTACCCTAACACACATCAGAATTAGAAAACTTTGAAGCCTTGCAGCTTCAAAACTATTGAAGCTGCATTGAAATTATTCATTAGAAATTTGTAGGGAATTTAATTGGCTTCAATTTGAGCCTAATTACATTTAAATCGGATTGAAATTAACAAAGTTGTAAAACAAAATATGTGACAATGTCATTTTAGAGAAATCAAATTTCCATAAAATGACATTGAGGGACGTTTTATTTTTTTCTCAGGAAAATAGTTGAGCGATTGGATTGAAATTTTGCAAGTGGATAGAAAATAGATTGAAATTTGGGAAAAAAAAATAAAATTTTCTTCTGCTCTCCTACCCTAACACACATCAGAATTAGAAAACTTTGAAGCCTTGCAGCTTCAAAACTATTGAAGCTGCATTGAAATTATTCATTAGAAATTTGTAGAGAATTTAATTGGCTCCAATTTGAGCCTAATTACATTTAAATCGGATTGAAATTAACAAAGTTGTAGAACAAAATATGTGACAATGTCATTTTAGAGAAATCAAATTTCCATAAAATGACATTGAGGGACGTTTTATTTTTTTCTCAGGAAAATAGTTGAGCGATTGGATTGAAATTTTGCAAGTGGATAGAAAATAGATTGAAATTTGGGAAAAAAAATTAAAATTTCCTTATGCTCTCCTACCCTAATACACATCAGAATCAGAAAACTTTGAAGCCTTGCAGCTTCAAAACTATTGAAGCTGCATTGAAATTATTCATTAGAAATTTGTAGAGAATTTAATTGGCTCCAATTTGAGCCTAATTACATTTAAATCGGATTGAAATTAACAAAGTTGTAAAACAAAATATGTGACAATGTCATTTTAGAGAAATCAAATTTCCATAAAATGACATTGAGGGACGTTTTATTTTTTTCTCAGGAAAATAGTTGAGCGATTGGATTGAAATTTTGCAAGTGGATAGAAAATAGATTGAAATTTGGGAAAAAAAATTAAAATTTCCTTATGCTCTCCTACCCTAATACACATCAGAATCAGAAAACTTTGAAGCCTTGCAGCTTCAAAACTATTGAAGGTGCATTGAAATTATTCATTAGAAATTTGTAGAGAATTTAATTGGCTTCAATTTGAGCCTAATTACATTTAAATCGGATTGAAATTAACAAAGTTGTAGAACAAAATATGTGACAATGTCATTTTAGAGAAATCAAATTTCCATAAAATGACATTGAGGGACGTTTTATTTTTTTCTCAGGAAAATAGTTGAGCGATTGGATTGAAATTTTGCAAGTGGATAGAAAATAGATTGAAATTTGGGAAAAAAAATTAAAATTTCCTTATGCTCTCCTACCCTAATACACATCAGAATCAGAAAACTTTGAAGCCTTGCAGCTTCAAAACTATTGAAGCTGCATTGAAATTATTCATTAGAAATTTGTAGAGAATTTAATTGGCTTCAATTTGAGCCTAATTACATTTAAATCGGATTGAAATTAACAAAGTTGTGAAGCAAAATATGTGACAATGTCATTTTAGAGAAATCAAATTTCCATAAAATGACATTGAGGGACGTTTTATTTTTTTCTCAGGAAAATAGTTGAGCGATTGGATTGAAATTTCGCAAGTGGATAGAAAATAGATTGAAATTTGGGAAAAAAAATTAAAATTTCCTTCTGCTCTCCTACCCTAATACACATCAGAATCAGAAAACTTTGAAGCCTTGCAGCTTCAAAACTATTGAAGCTGCATTGAAATTATTCATTAGAAATTTGTAGAGAAGTTAATTGGCTTCAATTTGAGCCTAATTACATTTAAATCGGATTGAAATTAACAAAGTTGTAAAGCAAAATATGTGACAATGTCATTTTAGAGAAATCAAATTTCCATAAAATGACATTGAGGGACGTTTTATTTTTTTCTCAGGAAAATAGTTGAGCGATTGGATTGAAATTTTGCAAGTGGATAAAAAATGGATTGAAATTTGGGAAAAAAAATTAAAATTTCCTTCTGCTCTCCTACCCTAACACACATCAGAATCAGAAAACTTTGAAGCCTTGCAGCTTCAAAACTATTGAAGCTGCATTGAAATTATTCATTAGAAATTTGTAGAGAATTTAATTGGCTTCAATTTGAGCCTAATTACATTTAAATCGGATTGAAATTAACAAAGTTGTGAAGCAAAATATGTGACAATGTCATTTTAGAGAAATCAAATTTCCATAAAATGACATTGAGGGACGTTTTATTTTTTTCTCAGGAAAATAGTTGAGCGATTGGATTGAAATTTCGCAAGTGGATAGAAAATAGATTGAAATTTGGGAAAAAAAATTAAAATTTCCTTCTGCTCTCCTACCCTAATACACATCAGAATCAGAAAACTTTGAAGCCTTGCAGCTTCAAAACTATTGAAGCTGCATTGAAATTATTCATTAGAAATTTGTAGAGAAGTTAATTGGCTTCAATTTGAGCCTAATTACATTTAAATCGGATTGAAATTAACAAAGTTGTAAAGCAAAATATGTGACAATGTCATTTTAGAGAAATCAAATTTCCATAAAATGACATTGAGGGACGTTTTATTTTTTTCTCAGGAAAATAGTTGAGCGATTGGATTGAAATTTTGCAAGTGGATAAAAAATGGATTGAAATTTGGGAAAAAAAATTAAAATTTCCTTCTGCTCTCCTACCCTAACACACATCAGAATCAGAAAACTTTGAAGCCTTGCAGCTTCAAAACTATTGAAGCTGCATTGAAATTATTCATTAGAAATTTGTAGAGAATTTAATTGGCTTCAATTTGAGCCTAATTACATTTAAATCGGATTGAAATTAACAAAGTTGTAAGGCAAAATATGTGACAATGTCATTTTAGAGAAATCAAATTTCCATAAAATGACATTGAGGGACGTTTTTATTTTTTTCTCAGGAAAATAGTTGAAGGATGGGATTGAAATTTTGCAAGTGGATAGAAAATAGATTGAAATTTGGGAAAAAAAATTAAAATTTCCTTCTGCTCTCCTACCCTAACACACATCAGAATCAGAAAACTTTGAAGCCTTGCAGCTTCAAAACAATTGAAGCTGCATTGAAATTATTCATTGGATATTTGTAGAGAATTTAATTGGCTTCAATTTGAGCCTAATTACATTTAAATCGGATTGAAATTAACAAAGTTGTAAAACAAAATATGTGACAATGTCATTTTAGAGAAATCAAATTTCCATAAAATGACATTGAGGGACGTTTTATTTTTTTCTCAGGAAAATAGTTGAGCGATTGTATTGAAATTTCGCAAGTGGATAGAAAATAGATTGAAATTTGGGAAAAAAAATTAAAATTTCCTTCTGCTCTCCTACCCTAACACACATCAGAATCAGAAAACTTTGAAGCCTTGCAGCTTCAAAACTATTGAAGCTGCATTTAAATTATTCATTAGAAATTTGTAGAGAATTTAATTGGCTCCAATTTGAGCCTAATTACATTTAAATCGGATTGAAATTAACAAAGTTTTTAAACAAAATATGTGACAATGTCATTTTAGAGAAATCAAATTTCCATAAAATGACATTGAGGGACGTTTTATTTTTTTCTCAGGAAAATAGTTGAGCGATTGGATTGAAATTTCGCAAGTGGATAGAAAATAGATTGAAATTTGGGAAAAAAAATTAAAATTTCTTTCTGCTCTCCTATCCTAACACACATCAGAATCAGAATAATTTGAAGCCTTGCAGCTTCAAAACTATTGAAGCTGCATTGAAATTATTCATTAGAAATTTGTAGAGAATTTAATTGGCTCCAATTTGAGCCTAATTACATTTAAATCGGATTGAAATTAACAAAGTTGTAAAACAAAATATGTGACAATGTCATTTTAGAGAAATCAAATTTCCATAAAATGACATTGAGGGACGTTTTATTTTTTTCTCAGGAAAATAGTTGAGCGATTGGATTGAAATTTTGCAAGTGGATAGAAAATACATTGAAATTTGGGAAAAAAAATTAAAATTTCCTTCTGCTCTCCTACCCTAATACACATCAGGCAGCTTCAAAACTATTGAAGCTGCATTGAAATTATTCATTAGAAATTTGTAGAGAATTTAATTGGCTTCAATTTGAGCCTAATTACATTTAAATCGGATTGAAATTAACATAGTTGTAAAGCAAAATATGTGACAATGTCATTTTAGAGAAATCAAATTTCCATAAAATGACATTGAGGGACGTTTTATTTTTTTTCTCAGGAAAATAGTTGAGCGATTGGATTGAAATTTCGCAAGTGGATAGAAAATAGATTGAAATTTGGGAAAAAAAATTAAAATTTCCTTCTGCTCTCCTACCCTAACACACATCAGAATCAGAAAACTTTGAAGCCTTGCAGCTTCAAAACTATTGAAGCTGCATTGAAATTATTCATTAGAAATTTGTAGAGAATTTAATTGGCTCCAATTTGAGCCTAATTACATTTAAATCGGATTGAAATTAACAAAGTTGTAAAACAAAATATGTGACAATGTCATTTTAGAGAAATCAAATTTCCATAAAATGACATTGAGGGACGTTTTATTTTTTTCTCAGGAAAATAGTTGAGCGATTGGATTGAAATTTCGCAAGTGGATAGAAAATAGATTGAAATTTGGGAAAAAAAATTAAAATTTCCTTCTGCTCTCCTACCCTAATACACATCAGAATCAGAAAACCTTGAAGCCTTGCAGCTTCAAAACTATTGAAGCTGCATTGAAATTATTCATTAGAAATTTGTAGAGAATTTAATTGGCTCCAATTTGAGCCTAATTACATTTAAATCGGATTGAAATTAACAAAGTTGTAAAACAAAATATGTGACAATGTCATTTTAGAGAAATCAAATTTCCATAAAATGACATTGAGGGACGTTTTATTTTTTTCTCAGGAAAATAGTTGAGCGATTGGATTGAAATTTTGCAAGTGGATAGAAAATACATTGAAATTTGGGAAAAAAAATTAAAATTTCCTTCTGCTCTCCTACCCTAATACACATCAGGCAGCTTCAAAACTATTGAAGCTGCATTGAAATTATTCATTAGAAATTTGTAGAGAATTTAATTGGCTTCAATTTGAGCCTAATTACATTTAAATCGGATTGAAATTAACATAGTTGTAAAGCAAAATATGTGACAATGTCATTTTAGAGAAATCAAATTTCCATAAAATGACATTGAGGGACGTTTTATTTTTTTTCTCAGGAAAATAGTTGAGCGATTGGATTGAAATTTCGCAAGTGGATAGAAAATAGATTGAAATTTGGGAAAAAAAATTAAAATTTCCTTCTGCTCTCCTACCCTAACACACATCAGAATCAGAAAACTTTGAAGCCTTGCAGCTTCAAAACTATTGAAGCTGCATTGAAATTATTCATTAGAAATTTGTAGAGAATTTAATTGGCTCCAATTTGAGCCTAATTACATTTAAATCGGATTGAAATTAACAAAGTTGTAAAACAAAATATGTGACAATGTCATTTTAGAGAAATCAAATTTCCATAAAATGACATTGAGGGACGTTTTATTTTTTTCTCAGGAAAATAGTTGAGCGATTGGATTGAAATTTCGCAAGTGGATAGAAAATAGATTGAAATTTGGGAAAAAAAATTAAAATTTCCTTCTGCTCTCCTACCCTAATACACATCAGAATCAGAAAACCTTGAAGCCTTGCAGCTTCAAAACTATTGAAGCTGCATTGAAATTATTCATTAGAAATTTGTAGAGAATTTAATTGGCTTCAATTTGAGCCTAATTACATTTAAATCGGATTGAAATTAACAAAGTTGTAGAACAAAATATGTGACAATGTCATTTTAGAGAAATCAAATTTCCATAAAATGACATTGAGGGACGTTTTATTTTTTTCTCCGGAAAATAGTTGAGCGATTGGATTGAAATTTTGCAAGTGGATAAAAAATGGATTGAAATTTGGGAAAAAAAATTAAAATCCTTCTGCTCTCCTACCCTAACACACATCAGAATCAGAAAACTTTGAAGCCTTGCAGCTTCAAAACTATTGAAGCTGCATTGAAATTATTCATTAGAAATTTGTAGAGAAGTTAATTGGCTTCAATTTGAGCCTAATTACATTTAAATCGGATTGAAATTAACAAAGTTGTAAAACAAAATATGTGACAATGTCATTTTAGAGAAATCAAATTTCCATAAAATTACATTGAGGGATGTTTTATTTTTTTCTCAGGAAAATAGTTGAGCGATTGGATTGAAATTTTGCAAGTGGATAGAAAATAGATTGAAATTTGGGAAAAAAAATTAAAATTTCCTTCTGCTCTCCTACCCTAATACACATCAGAATCAGAAAACTTTGAAGCCTTGCAGCTTCAAAACTATTGAAGCTGCATTGAAATTATTCATTAGAAATTTGTAGAGAATTTAATTGGCTCCAATTTGAGCCTAATTACATTTAAATCGGATTGAAATTAACAAAGTTGTAAAACAAAATATGTGACAATGTCATTTTAGAGAAATCAAATTTCCATAAAATGACATTGAGGGACGTTTTTATTTTTTTCTCAGGAAAATAGTTGAGCGATTGGATTGAAAATTCGCAAGTGGATAGAAAATAGATTGAAATTTGGGAAAAAAAATTAAAATTTCCTTCTGCTCTCCTACCCTAACACACATCAGAATCAGAAAACTTTGAAGCCTTGCAGCTTCAAAACTATTGAAGCTGCATTGAAATTATTCATTAGAAATTTGTAGAGAATTTAATTGGCTCCAATTTGAGCCTAATTACATTTAAATCGGATTGAAATTAACAAAGTTGTAAAACAAAATATGTGACAATGTCATTTTAGAGAAATCAAATTTCCATAAAATGACATTGAGGGACGTTTTATTTTTTTCTCAGGAAAATAGTTGAGCGATTGGATTGAAATTTCGCAAGTGGATAGAAAATAGATTGAAATTTGGGAAAAAAAATTAAAATTTCCTTCTGCTCTCCTACCCTAATACACATCAGAATCAGAAAACCTTGAAGCCTTGCAGCTTCAAAACTATTGAAGCTGCATTGAAATTATTCATTAGAAATTTGTAGAGAATTTAATTGGCTTCAATTTGAGCCTAATTACATTTAAATCGGATTGAAATTAACAAAGTTGTAGAACAAAATATGTGACAATGTCATTTTAGAGAAATCAAATTTCCATAAAATGACATTGAGGGACGTTTTATTTTTTTCTCCGGAAAATAGTTGAGCGATTGGATTGAAATTTTGCAAGTGGATAAAAAATGGATTGAAATTTGGGAAAAAAAATTAAAATCCTTCTGCTCTCCTACCCTAACACACATCAGAATCAGAAAACTTTGAAGCCTTGCAGCTTCAAAACTATTGAAGCTGCATTGAAATTATTCATTAGAAATTTGTAGAGAAGTTAATTGGCTTCAATTTGAGCCTAATTACATTTAAATCGGATTGAAATTAACAAAGTTGTAAAACAAAATATGTGACAATGTCATTTTAGAGAAATCAAATTTCCATAAAATTACATTGAGGGATGTTTTATTTTTTTCTCAGGAAAATAGTTGAGCGATTGGATTGAAATTTTGCAAGTGGATAGAAAATAGATTGAAATTTGGGAAAAAAAATTAAAATTTCCTTCTGCTCTCCTACCCTAATACACATCAGAATCAGAAAACTTTGAAGCCTTGCAGCTTCAAAACTATTGAAGCTGCATTGAAATTATTCATTAGAAATTTGTAGAGAATTTAATTGGCTCCAATTTGAGCCTAATTACATTTAAATCGGATTGAAATTAACAAAGTTGTAAAACAAAATATGTGACAATGTCATTTTAGAGAAATCAAATTTCCATAAAATTACATTGAGGGACGTTTTATTTTTTTCTCAGGAAAATAGTTGAAGGATGGGATTGAAATTTTGCAAGTGGAATGGAAAATAGATTGGAATTTCAAACAAAAAGAAAAAAAATCCTTCTGCTCCCTCACCTTAGTAAAAATCAAGCTCTAAAAACTTTCAAGCCTTGCAGCTAGGAAACTTTTGAAGCTGCATTAAAATTATTGACTACAAATTTGTAGAGGATTTAATTGGCTTTAATCTGAGCCTAATTACATTTAAATCGGATTGAAATTAACAAAATTCTAAAGCAAAATGTGTGACAATGTCATTTTAGACAAGAAACGCTCCAAGTGAATAGAAAAAAGATTGAATTTTCTTCAAATTCAAGAGCCTGGAATAAACAAAATATCAAACGAGCCAAATTAAATCCACTCGAAAATTATATTTTTAAAAAAACTTGATTTATTTTTAACTCACCTTTATATTTGCTCACATAGGATTGGTCATAGATATTCATTGATCTGTAAGGATTCACAGAAACGCATACTTCTCCTATATAAGTGTAGATTAACCCATTTTTAAACCTAAAACAAAAATAAAATTTATATTCTCGATATTGGTAACATAAAACCTGTTATCGTTTCCCCATAAGATTTACGAACATCCATACATATGGGGTTTTAATTTTTATGAGGACAAGTTCTTTTGTGTGAATCAAATTTTATAGGCTGTAAAAATAACCACAGATACAAGGAAGAATTACAATTTATTATAAATATGCGCTAGTATTTTCAATGTAAAGGAAAACAGATTTTTCCGGCATTTCTTTTATTATTGTTTCAAAGACACGATGCATCTGGTTTTAAGGAGCGAAAGTTTCAATTGCATCTTCATTTGGAAAACCATTAAAAATCTGGTTTTGACTTTATTATTTCGATTTTGGGTCAATGTATTTAATGAATCTTGTGTGTAATATAGAAAATGAAAGTAAATGGCGATTTTCAATATGCATAGCCGTATGTATAGGTTCATTTCCTGCTGCATATCGCGGTATTAAATGGCTTTTATGTGTTCCTGCAAATGTGATTACATAGAAAAAAACAATGAATAAAGTAGGTTGAAAGTGATTTCAAGCTTTTAGGATTTGTTTAATAGACAATCTATGTTACTTGAAACTTTCAGAATTTATTAATAAGAGTTTTTTGATGATACAAAACAAGTTGGTAGTTGATAAGAAACTCACAACCAAAGTTACAATTTTTTATATTCATTGATACTTGAGAAAATCATAAAATTCCAGTAAAATCACCTTAGAGGGTTCCTCAAAAATACTTTGAGCTATGACAGCAACTTGAAACTTTCAGGATTTATTAATTAGAGTTTTTTCATGATACAAAACAAGTTCGAAGTTGGTATGAAAATCTACAACCAAAGTTATTTGAGAAAATCATGAAATTCCTGTAAAATTATCTTTGAGGGTTCCTGAAAAATACTTTGAGCCATCAGCAACTTGAAACTTCCAGGATTTATTAATTAGGAGTTTTTCCATGATACAAAACAAGTTGGAAGTTGATATGAAACTTACAACCCAAGTTACAGAATGTTTTACTCATTGATGTTTGAGAAAACCATAAAATTCCTGTAAATTCATCTTTGAAATGATCGACCTGAAAAATACTTTGAGCCATCACAGTAACTTGAAACTTTCAGGATTTATTAATTAGAGTCTTTTGATGACACAAAACAAGTTGTAAGTTGATATGAAACTCACAACCAAAGTTACGATTTTTTATATTCATTGATACTTGAGAAAATCATAAAATTCCAGTAAAATCACCTTTGAGGGTGTCTGAAAAATACTTTGAGGCATCACAGCATCTTGAAACTTTCAGGATTTATTAATTAGAGTTTCTTCTGATTATTAAAGAAGTTTGAAGCTGATGCAAAACTCTCAAAAGGAGTTACAAACTTTTAAATTCAAATAAAATCACTTATGGCCATCATAATTACTTGTAACTTTTAGGATTCATTAACAATTAAGATAAAATGAAGTTTCTGATGACTGAAAAAGTTATAAAATTCTTTATAAAATCAAATTTCAAGGTGCTCAAAAAATACTTCAAAGCAACGATAGCAAAACTAAAAATAAAGATTATAAAACCTTATCATCCTCAATAAACATGATGTCAATTATTAATCCCAAAATGGCAAGTAGAAAAACACTTGTTGCCAACAAACGATAAAACCCAATCTATTACATTATAACCAGAGAGAATTATAATATATTTTAAAAGAAATTCTGAAACAATTCATTATTATGAATGCCATACCATTGGTAAAAGTTCACGGTCATCTCAAATCTAAATATTTGTTCTTTGGCCCGTTCCAAAACCAAACATATAATTTCCTCGATGACATTTTCCATGGGTTCGATAATGCACTGGGCAAATATGGGCTCTACCCTTCAATATTTAATTTAGGAATTCTCGTGGGCGTGTGATTTATGACACACACCTTTATTTGTAAATATTTTGATAATCTCTTCTAACTATTGACAGTAATTAATATTTATATCAGTCAGAGTTTAGTATAATATGAGGATGACATCATATTCCACTTGTGGAACGCCTTGACATGGTCACGACACACGATGATTCACTTTTTTTGTTGCCTCGAACAAATGGAACACAATTTTAATTGTGTGAAGTTATACTTATTAGTCGATATTTGAAATTACTAATTGTTTTGTGGGTTCATCAAAATAGGATTATTAATAATTGAAATATTATTCTGATGAAACAAAAGTTGTGGCCAAATGGTTTTAAATATTGACTTAATTAGTGGAAATAAAATTAATAATTTTATACTATTTGTATTTGAGTATAGCTATATATTTGTTTTACAAACACTCGGTTCCACATATCTATTTACTAGTAAAATAAAAGTGTAATGTGCAGTAAAACATATATATTTCAAGGCAAATTTACAATAATTTTTCATGTTTTAAAACCACATAAACATTGTTCCTGGGTGATTTCACGTATGAGTAACAATCTTCACTTTAAACGTGTGACCAATTATTGTTAATTTTCTTTAATTTATTGATTACATGACTCATTGAAACTCGTTTCTTACACATAGGAAAAGTCCTATTCAATTCTAGGAACGTCAGGATTAAGATTTTCACACTTTTCTAATTGAAATTTGTTCTGGAAAAGTCAAATGTGCTTTAAAAAGGTTAGAAATCAGTACATTGTATACTTTTCTATTTCAAATTTTAGATTTAGGAGAGCTGGGACAATAATTTTCATGCCTCATTGATTCAAATTTTAGCTCAAGAAGTTTTGGGAACTCTAAAGACTATAGTTCTAGTTCAAATTTCAACTCTAGGAGAGCCTGGAATGGGATTTTTATACTTCTAAAGTTGAAGTTTCAATTCTAGGGACGTCAGGATTAAGATTTCCCAACTTTTTCAATTGAAATTTGTTATGAGAAAGTCAAATGAGCTTTAAAATGGTCTGAATTCAGACTAGTATACTTTTCTATTTCAGTTTTAGATTTAGGAGAGCTGAAACAATAATTTTCATGTCATATTGATTCAAATTTTAGCTCAAGAAGTATTGGGAACTCTGTAATAGGTAATCAAAAACTAGTTCTATTTTTTTGGGAACTCTAAAGACTATAGTTCAGGTTCAAATTTCAACTCTAGGAGAACCTGGAATAAGATTTTTATACTTCTAAAGTTGAAGTTTCAATTCTAGGGACGTCAGGATTAAGATTTCCACACTTTTCCAATTGAAATTTGTTATAGGAAAGTCAAATGAGCTTTTCAAAATGGACAAAAATCAGACTTGTATACTTTTCTATTCCAATTTTGGATTTGGGAGAGCTGAAACAATAATTTCCATGCCTTATTGATTCAAATTTTAGCTTAAGAAGTATTGGGAACTCTGTAATAGGTAATCAAAAACTAGTTCTAGTTCAAATTTCAACTCTATGAGAGCCTGGAATGGGATTTTTATACTTCTTAAGTTGAAGTTTCAATTCTAGGGACGTCAAGATTAAGATTTCCCCACTTTTCCAATTGAAATTTGTTATAGGAAAGTTAAATGAGCTTTTTAAAATGGACAAAAATCAGACTTGTATTCTTTTCTATACCAATTTTAGATTTAGGAGAGCTGAAACAATAATTTCCATGCCTTATTGATTCAAATTTTAGCTTAAGAAGTATTGGGAACTCTGTATGATAATCAACAACTAGTTCTAGTTCAAATTTCAACTCTAGGCGAGCCTGGAATGGAATTTTTATACTTCTAAAGTTGAAGTTTCAATTCTAGGGACGTCAGGATTAAGATTTCCCCACTTTTCCAATTGAAATTTGTTATAGGAAAGTTAAATGAGCTTTTTAAAATGGACAAAAATCAGACTTGTATACTTTTCTATACCAATTTTAGATTTAGGAGAGCTGAAACAATAATTTCCATGCCTTATTGGTTCAAATTTTAGCTTAAGAAGTATTGGGAACTCTGTAATAGGTAATCAAAAACTAGTTCTAGTTCAAATTTCAACTGTATGAGAGCCTGGAATGGGATTTTTATACTTCTTAAGTTGAAGTTTCAATTCTAGGGACGTCAAGATTAAGATTTCCCCACTTTTCCAATTGAAATTTGTTATAGGAAAGTCAAATGAGCTTTTCAAAATGGACAAAAATCAGACTTGTATACTTTTCTATTCCAATTTTGGATTTAGGAGAGCTGAAACAATAATTTCCATGCCTTATTGATTCAAATTTTAGCTCAAGAAGTATTGGGAACTCTGTAATAGGTAATCAAAAACTAGTTCTAGTTCAAATTTCAACTCTATGAGAGCCTGGAATGGGATTTTTATACTTCTTAAGTTGAAGTTTCAATTCTAGGGACGTCAAGAAAAATGGACAAAAATCAGACTTGTATACTTTTCTATTCCAATTTTGGATTTAGGAGAGCTGAAACAATAATTTCCATGCCTTATTGATTCAAATTTCAGCTCAAGAAGTATTGGGAAACTCTGTAATAATCAAAAACTAGTTCTAGTTCAAATTTCAACTCTAGGAGAGCCTGGAATAGGATTTTTACACTTCTAAAGTTAAAGTTTCAATTCTAGGGACGTCAGGATTAAGATTTCCACACTTTTCCAATTGAAGTTTGTTAAGTATAGGAAAGTCAAATGAGCTTTTTAAAATGGACATAAATCAGACTTTTGTATATTTTTCTAATTCAGTTTTAGATTTAGGAAAGCTGAGAGATGTATAAAACTTGGACTTTTAAATACGAACACAAATAATGAAAATTAAAAATATTTATAATTTGCAGTTGTTGCTTTTGATGTTGAATGCTGTTTTTACAATTAAATATAAAGAAAATGAGCATCTTGTATTATACCTAAGTTTTTGACATAATCTAATGAATTATTTCTTCAATATTAGTTACAAAACAGTCCAAAACAAATTGTTATTATAATTTTCTCACTAGGTACCTACATATTAGTGCGCACAACCATAGTCAATATAGAGACTAAACAGGAAATAGCAAAATATCTTAATCTG